TCTTTCGATACCAGCCTGTAAGTATTAGTCACATATACAAGACAAAATTACAATATATGGGGGTGGGTACTCCCATACATTGGCTATATGGGGACATGCCGCTAAAGTGGGTCACTTTTTCGCTGAAAAATCCCTAGATGTTGGTCTCATTTTGAAGAAAAAACCCTAGATATGGGTCCCATTGTATGAAAAAATCCTTAGAACTGGATCTACTTTTTGAAAAATCCTAAAAGTGGGTACTGTTTTTTAAAAAATCGCCTTATTTTTTAAAATTTACCTTGTATTGGATCTATTTTTGAAAGAGGGCTCAGGATGTGTATTGAATGAAACGACAGTCATTCTTACAGCCAAAAATTTCTGCCAACTACCACATTTCAAAACATACTGATCTGTGGAGGATATTTTCAGAACATTTATGGGGGGGTAGGGATACATGTATTTGAGTCTGGTAACTAATATCGTAAAATAATCTGAGTTTATATACTAGGAGAACTTCCAACTATCGTAGATTGTATCAATTCTTGTATCCTCAACCTAAATGTTACAAGCTGAATGCGTAGCTAGTACTCAGCTTCAAGAATTGCATAGGGCTATCAGTGCCAGAACCAATCAAAAATGTTTTGATAAAAATCACCCCTACATTTTTTGCATTTTTCTTATTTTTAACATATAGTGATAGACCTAGCAAAGCCTTATCAAAGTCAAAAATTAAAAAAACAAACCGAACCCACATTATGGGAGTAACTGAACAGGTCACTGAACAGAATCTTTCGACTTTTTCAGAAAATATGCCTGATGTATAGCTTGTTCGTACGTACCATTCGTAAGATCGTTTTGACGTTACTTTAATATTACCTTAATATACCTCTTTGTTATTCCTTTCGTCCGTAGCCTATGTCGGTACTTTCAGTATGTACGTTCTTCCTTCGTTCGACATTTTGTACGTTGTTAAATTCGAACATTCTTTGGTTCGTACATTTATCCTTTCAATTGAATGTTTATTAATACTAGCTATGTAAAGTCGTTGGTACGTTGTTACGGGGTGTCACTACAGGGAGTTTTCAGAGGAGGTCTCTGATGAGCATTGATAGTCTGGATATGTGTTGATTTAAATATGATATCACTTTCATGACATTTTTAAATGGTGAAAACCAAGATGATACTTTCATCTCGTCTATTGAAATGTAATATCCCATGAATTCCCATAACCATAATATTTATCCATACTCATGACTCACATTTTCTATTTTCTTTGTCACTTTCAATTAACACACTAATTATTAAGGGTCATTGTATGATCATTATTTTATTCCATAAAAACTATATTTGCATGAATATAAACAACGTTCACTCGACTCCCGTCGGTTAGATGATGTAAACAAGTAAAGACTGAAATTTCCCAGATGACAAACCAAGATACACCCATCCTTACCCCATCCAAAGATATTGCCATCTTTCATTCTAAAAAGTCACAAATGCAAGTGGAGATTTACTTGTGACATCGCTGAACCAAGGGAAAGATCAATACCCGGTGATTTCAGCGGGAAGTGGCGTTTCGTTCAGTGGATGAGCTGCGCGCGCACGCATAAATGTGATTATCCAATATAATTAGGGGAGGGCTATTTGAAACAGTTTTTGGTCTCAGGCGCGACCCAGGGCTGTTGTCTTAAGGATATTTCGTTGAAAATGAGCCATTCGGCTAATAATTGGTAAGAGTTTGCGATCTTATAATGTATAACTGTTACTCAGACACATATTTTGACACGATTCTGTTGGAAATAAGCTTTGAACCGAGAGATATTCACGATTGATATGCACATTTTTGATTGTGCCATTGCTTTTCCATTGCTCAATCCATGTATTGATAGAAGTAACATTAATAATGCAGATTGGTTTACCTTCAATACATGGCAGACACTACATATCGGTCTATTAAATACCAGTTTGTGCCTTAAATAGTTTTATATTTCCATCCACGGCCTGGAGCCTGGATGTGTTTGTCTCTTATGTGTATGCTTGTGCATGGACTTCTAATCACTAGCAGAATTTAACATGATGCAAACTCGACATTATAACTCATGCTGTAACATTTTGACTTCGATGGAAAACAATAGGAATTATTTTTCTTGCCAATCAATCATGAATCACAATCAAAATTTCACTATGATCAATCAGGCAATGGTCCAAATCAAGTTATAACATTATATGATATTCAGCAAGAAGTCTGGTAGAAATACAGAATATTTAAACATCAAAGCTGAAAGTTAAAAGCTAATCTGTCAATTTTCTGTCTGCAAAAAAGCGTTTACATTTGACACAATAACAGACTGAGTCTTTGAAATCTAGGATTCCCCAGGAAAATATGACGTCATACTAATTAGCATAAGGATTTCCCTATTGGTATGGGTCGAGCCTTGTTCGAAAACACAATCCATAAATACATGCTAATTTCTAAGGAGATAGGAAGTGTATAACGTGTTTATCGATTTTGTTCAAAGATTTAATCAATTATCAAATTGTTTAAGTGGATAAAGTGGTAACACTTGCTTCAATTCATAGCGTAATCGACGGATAGAAACTGACCGAATTCCCGATATCCTACCCCGTATTACTGTAGGCTATAAGCACAGTGACCTACAGAGGGCGCTATCACAAACAAGTACTGCACGAACCGATAAATTCCCGGGTATTGTAACGCCCTTGGCTGAACATCAACAAAATACATGTAGCAACAGAGCCATCTTTTAAACACAAGAATTGTGAGAACAAAAATTGTTTTAGAGAGAAAGTGTGACATAAAATTTAATGGTGAGATTCTAAACTATAAAGTCTGGTCTCAATTTTTTGAATGTACAACTGATACTACCCTTTTGGTAATTCAATGGAAAATTTTACATGGTATTTACCCTCAAAATATTTATTTGAAGAAATGTAACATTGAAAACTCTGACATCTGTAACTTTTGTAACGCACATGTAAAAGATGACATTGACCACTTCTTTATCAATTGTGACTGTTATTAAATCAATTTGGAATGATGTAAATGTTACAAATGATCAAAGAATTGGAAATGCAATTGTTAAAAAAGAAGATTTACTTAAAACATTGGTAATTAAAAAAGCTATACATGATTTTAAAAATAGGTTCAATACAGCTAGTAATGTAAAAGCTATTTTTGATAATGAAATAATGATCAGAAAGATGTAATGTAACTTGAAATTTCTATAATTGTATTTTATCTTATTGTATGCATGTAATGTAAAATATGTTTATTAATAAAGTTTGATTTTATAATAAAAAAAAAAAAATGTAGCAACAGATACATTTTGCGGCGAGCATCCATGCACATTGTAAAGAGGGGGAAAGTCCAAAGTCCCAGTCACCCGCTCACTTAAGTGCAAGTTATTTACCTATAACATTGACAGTTCGGTGTCAACGCACATCGAATATTATTTTTCGGTACAATGTGCGTCGGTATAATGCGCGTTGGTATAATGGGTTTCGGTATAATGCGCTTCAGTATAATGAGGTGATCCCGTTTGGAACAAAATAAATGTCTGGTGGATTTTCTATCACCACTCCAAACCATGTTGTTTTGAAAGCCCTATAGTCTCAAATATTGTCTAGATACATATCCCTAAGAATTTGTATATTTTACATTTTGTATACTCTCATCCACTGATGTATGACCTCTTGAAAATTCTTTTATTTTTATACTACTTTTTTCAAGGCCTGACTGCGTCGCTAACATGCTAAATATAAGAGTTAGCTGACGTTTCGGAGTCTGACTTACCTTCTAAAGGTTAGAACCCGAATTTTAATGAAACCATATCACCTTTGTTCCGTCAACCATGGAGCATTTGCCACAACATCCAAGAGGTAAATCATGGATCGAGAAAATGAATGATTTCCTTGTAAGTTCCGGAAGTTTCAATACGAAAAATTACCGAACATATGTGAAAACCGAATATTTGTTCGTTGTTTTCACGATTTACAGGTTCGTTTGTTCAATGTTTTGGTCTAAATTATAAAGCATCACCAACAGGTCTTACTCTATTTATCGACTAATACAGCAGACGGCTCATATTTCTACGTAGCATTTCATTCAGACCAATAGTGGGAGTGTAGATCACGCAGTTTCGTTCGTTGCGTACTTCACTTGAAATTGGTAATTTTAAATATTGACTACTTCACTTAGCTTGGCGGATGTAGAACATTGCTGAATATTCTTTTAATTTTCACACCAGACATGCTTGGTTGACACGTCAACAAAGTAAAGTTCAAGGGTCAATGCGTTATTTTGTGATAACTACAACGCCTTCCCGGAAGTCAACATTGATGAAAAATGAAAAAGTCGGAAAAGCATTTACGCTAATTTCTATCAAATGCTATGTCTATGCATCATCATCGACGCAACAAAGGTGATATGGTTTCATTAAGATTCGGGTTCTAACCTTTAGAAGGTAAGTCAGACTCCCAAACGTCAGCTAACTCTTATATTTAGCATGTTAGCGACGCAGTCAGGCCTTGAAAAAAGTAGTAGTACTTCAGCAAATCCATGTGTCATTATTTTTGTTCCAAACTTTAGATCTAGATCTACTTATAAAATGGCAAATTATATCTTTTCAAAAAGCACTAATAAAATCCCTACCTAATCGACCTCAGCACAATGCTCAGTTGCCGTTTATCACGCTGTTTGCTGAAAAGTTGCTTGATTGAAACTTTGAGAAACTTCTTAGTTCAGGTGTTTCAATAGGCGGATGCACAAATTTTACGAACGTCAATTATCCTGGTTTTTATGATACTCTCAGGCGCAAGCTTACTGTCCTTTCGGAAGAATTTTTGTTCATTCAAACATTAATTTGTCATTCATTCTAGCGAAACTATTGTCATTAAGTCTTAAAACACCTTCGTTTTTTAATAGATCTTATTGGAAATTGCAGCATCCTTAGATTCATCAATTGTTCGCAACGCAACAGCAGCACGTTTGGGGACATGAAGACACGATGTTTACAGAAGAGCAGTTCTGCATTATAGCAAGAGTTTTTACACCAAGCCGGAATATAGATCAGTTTCTTGAATCTTTTATTGCTTTTAGAACCTGTATCAGATCAATGCGTAATGGCCTACGGGGATTTTAATGTTGTAGACCAAATGACCACTTTTTCCGCCATCTATCCGAATTTTAAACAATAACAAGTTTCGAACTCAAGTCGGGAGTCACAAGGAGTCTAGAATTTGTAACTTGTCAAAAGGCGAGCCGGGCACAGATTGGCCAAACCCACTGAAACGGTGCAGAATCTGAAATATCACTTGTAGATACTGGAAACGATGTGTTGCTTATTGCTGTCACATGACGGTCATGTGGCCAAAAAAGTTCATGTGACCAAACAGAACTCTGAATGACAGACTTTGGCTTGAGGAAGTTGGTCACCTCACTGATATACTGTATAGACATACTGTAGATTGACTGGGATACAACCTTGAACGATCATTCAGATTAGACAAGATCTAGTAAAGAAATGGAGGAAAAGTTCAATTTGATTTTCCTTTCCTTGGTTTTGCTGAATGTAGCTGTAGATCTAGAATGCAAAGTTATGCATTTGTCAAAAGACTCAAATGAGAACAATGTCATAAAAATGGATATTCCAGATCCTTTAAAAAGTAATGATGGGGATACATCATCAGGCGATAAATCATGCGACATTAGTGACAATGATAGGTTTGACTGTTTCTCTGACAGAGGGGCAACTCAGGCGAAATGTGAAGCAAGGGGCTGCTGTTGGAAACCTGCGTCTAGCAATGGGATCCCTTATTGCTTCTACCCAACTGATAATGAAGGATACAAAGTGGACTCCGAAACTTTAACAGAATGGGGCATGACAGCAAAATTGTCTCGTAGCTCAAAATCACATTGGCCAGAGGATGTAATGCAACTCCAGCTTGATGTAAAGTATGAGACAGCCTCCAGATTACATTTTAAGGTGACCTGTATTTTCATCATCATAGTAGTTTGTCTTCTAGAATACTTAAAAAATCCAATAGGAAAGCATATAGTATATGTATTACATGCATGTTGTATCGTAACATAAAACTAGTTGGTGTTCATAAAGTCATATTTGTTTTTGAAATACGTATAGATTTGTGTAGATCAATATGATACTGAGCTACATGTACAACAATATACAAAATTTTCTTAAGAGTGTCAAATGTTACTTTTTAGATATTTGACCCGAACCATGCTAGATATGAGGTGCCAATAGAGACACCACAAGTGAATAACAAGGCCCACACGACAGACTATGCAGTGACTATCAGCAAACAACCATTTGCCATCACTGTCACCAGAAAATCTACCAACCAACCTGTGTAAGAATCCCAGCATTAACATCTTCCCTTTGGCAAGGGGAGGGTACTGTATGATTGCAGGATAGAAATTAAATTGTCATCATCAGAAATTTTGTATAGTATAATGATAAAGGACGATTCTGGGTTTGGAGAACAAAGTTCATCAATCTAAATGAGCATTATCCCTGCTTCGGACAAATTTGATTTTTTTTACATAACATAGATTTGAATGTCTTCTTTTGAATAGTCATAATTTAATTTGGGTAATATTTCTAGATTTTTCGCAAAAAAATATTCGCGCAGTACACTGATGAACTTCTTTCCCCAAATCGAGATTTGTAATTTATTGAATCGGTCAAATTGAGCGTTATCCGTGCTTCAGACCAATTTGTTATTTTTACATCTTGTAGATCTAAATGTCCTCTTTTGAATATTCATAGTTTAATTTGGGTAATATTTCTATATTTTTCATGAAAAAAATTATTAGCCCAGGAGACTGTTCTCCAAACCGAGAATCGTCCTTTAGAATTTAAAACATTTAAAGATGAAATGATCATACATGTACATGTATGTGACTTCAAAGTATGCATACTGTATATATTTCAGATATATACTCGTATTATGCACATGTATATTTTATACATGTAATTGTGTTCATTTCATTTTCCAGATTTGACACAAAGTTGAATACACCATTTATATTTGCAAACCAGTATATTGAAATTTCCACATCTTTAGCTAATAAGTTTGTGTATGGACTTGGTGAACACAGGAGTTCCTTTCAACTGAATACAACATGGCAGACATTGGCATTCTGGGCAAGAGACCAACCACCAACAGTAAGAAATTACACCATTGGTTTTCAAGAGATCTCTAAATTAGACAAATGTTGGGATGCAAGTAACATTGCACTTAGCTTGTATTCATAAATGCAACTACTGGCTACCTGATTTACCTATTGATTTTAATAGATTAACCTGTCATTTCGAAATCTAAATAACGAAGAACCCATTAGTCTACGAAAAGTTGTTCGGTTGAATTAGTGAACAGATCGTAGGTCATCACTTGTTGTTGAATAGGCAGATTTACCTGTTATTTAGCTCAGTGATTGGATTTAATGCAATAGCTTGCAGCTACTGGGATGCACAACAGCATATTAAATGAGTTAGCATTCATGAATACAAGCTTAGTTATATTTAAAACAAAAAGAAATTTTATCAAACTAATGAAAATCATTTCAAATAGCAACATTGTGTATCAACTAATAAGTCTTCATTTTGCCAAACAAGAGAGTCTTCTTTGACACTACCATATTTCAAATCTGCCAAGTGTGTCTCAGCCAATCGGCTCAGAGTATTTTAGTGCATTAATTCATATATGGTCAACTGAGCAGAAACATTTTTTTACAGTGCATTAATGGTTTCATATTGAAGTTCATATTTGAGTAAAATTCTATAAACATTATCTAATAGGGAATAACAAACTACATGCTTATGCAGGTCAAATGGTAAGTGTTGAACGGTTGTCAAGATGACCATCCATGATTCTGACCATCACAATTAGAAGTGACAACTTGACCCTTGCAAAAGGTTTCCTTAAAAATATATTCTTTTAAGTATTTTCATATCTTTTAACTGATAGGGCCTATTGTTGAAAATATTTTGGAATGTGTGAAAAGAATTTAAATCCAAGACTTGGTGCATTGTGGGTGATTTATTCCACTGAGGCATTGTTTCCTAAACTTAACCCTTGGTGCTACACATCTCATGCAAAGCTTGAAACAACACCTCAGAGGAATGATCAGTCCACAATGCAGTCCAGGGCTTAAATCCTTGAATCAAATAATGTTACTCACAGGGCCATCATTGCATTGGCCTAGGGTTTGTCAGTGTTGTATATGATGTTTAAAACAGAAATCGTGAAAACTAAACAAAATAAAAAATATATTATACTGAAAAGTCTGATAGAAATTAGATGTACCATAAGTTCATGCAAAAACATTCTAATTTTTTTATTTTTCAATGTTTTTCCTTGAAACTTTCACACAACATAGAAAAAATGTATACTCATTAAATATTAAAAAATAATTTTTTTTATATTGATTGGTCAAAAGTTATGGTTGCTATGGTAACCTGTGTTTTGGTCACGCGGGGCAATATTTTTCTGTTTGCGAATCCCAAGTCTTAAGTTTGGAAAAAGTTATTATGCAAGAACATTATTCTTTCATTTTGAATAAAACAGCTATTGTTGCATTGGTAGCAACTAGCATCCGGGTTGCAATTACATTTGTATTGTAATATCATCATAGTTTATTTCTTAAATGCAACCTTTAGAGAGTTCCGCCCGGAGCGAGCTTTACAAAAGAAACGGCCTAAAATTACCCCCGTCTTCAAATAATTTCACAAAGACAATGTCCCATGCCATCGAGCAAATATGGTTCGGGATACTATCCGGAATACCCTACAGATGGCAGTTTTAGACCAGGTTGCATACTCCCCAATGAGGCTGTATTGGACTTTGGGAGTTCAATAGGATGAAAGATGAACTGAGAGGTGTTCGGTATGCTGGCATGACAGAGTTCACTGCAGCTGCCCAGAGTGCCTTGCACACTAAATTCCCTTGTTATTTTATGGTTCAATATGAAGAATGGGTGAAGCACCAGGTACCTCATATATGCATCCAATATAAAAGGGAATATTTTGGTCATTAAATGAAGTGACATGTTTGGTAGGAACCTCCAATTTGAAAAGACAATGTTTTATAGATACATGTGCAACTTATAATTCACAAGAGTTTAATTAAAATTGAACTCAGGTTACCATAGCAACCATAACTTTTGATCAAGCAGAACAAAGTAATTTATTTTTTGTTTTTTTAATGTGTAGATATTTTTTCTATGTTTTGTGAAAGTTTCCAGGAAAAACATAGAAAAACAAAAAAATGAGAATGATTTTGCATGAACTTATTGAACGACCTGGTACATGTACTCCAATTATTGAAGGTTATAAAACTCAATGTTGTTAAACCCTATTTATTTCCAGCCTAATGTTAACTTGTATGGAGATCATCCTTTCTTCATGAGCTTTGATGACATAGGAAATGCATATGGAGTCTTCCTGCTGAACAGCAATGCAATGGGTAGGCTATATACTATGAGGAGTGTCTTTAGAATTACAGTACACCAATCCTTTTAGATTTTTATGTCGCCACCACAGTGGTAACCTAGATTGTTATAGTCCCAAATTTTGTTGACCTGTTCCCTGGGTGGTGTTCAGCATCTGTAACAAATGGCAGGTGATGACATTTTGCATGTAATGCCTATTTAATTGTTTTACAGTATATTGCATTTGCAAATCTAAAATTATACTTGCTTTAGAACACCAAAGGCAGACTGTCATATACTATATAATGCAATTGAATGAATTTGAAATGATACACAGAGTTTACTTGAGTTTTTCTAAACTGCATTATTGATTTTAGATATAAGCCTCCAACCAAAACCAGCTGCTACATATAGAACCATTGGAGGCATTCTTGATTTTTACATTTTTCTTGGCCCAACTCCTGATGATGTAATCAAGCAATATCAGGGAACCATTGGCTACCCATTCATGCCTCCCTATTGGTCACTTGGTTTCCATCTCTGTCGATATGGATACAAGAGTAGCGATGACATTCGTACAGTAATTAATCGCATGCAAGCTGGAAAATTTCCATATGTAAGTGTGTCCAATGTGCCATCCATATTTGCTCCCCTACATGTTCCTGCTATTATTATCAAAATAACATTCTACATTTTGTGTGCTTGTAGAGGTCTTATTGCAGCCAACGCCTGCACTTACTTACAAAACCATAGGTGGCATACTAGATTTCTATATTTTCCTTGGTCCATCACCTGATGATGTCATTGCACAATACACATCTGTGATTGGTCAATCATTTCTTCCACCTTATTGGTCGCTTGGTTTCCATTTGTGTCGCTGGGGCTATGAGACCACTGATAATTTGAAGCAAGTTATAAAGCGAATGAAGGATGCCAAATTTCCATATGTAAGCATATTATTGTAAGGAATGTACACTGGGTTTGCTTAGAACTGGTTGACAGCACATGTTTGAAATGATTACAATGGTGATAATAAGACTATGGGGAATAACTCCAGAGTCCTGAGATTACATCCATCTATAATGTAAATCTGTATTGAGATGATATCATCGCTGATTGGTCAAATGGACAGACAAATGACATCATTACATTTAATGGGGTTTTCAAAATTTTCAAAACAAACTTTGAAAGAAAGATTTCCTCCTCTTGATGATATATAGGTTATTAACTTGGAGGGATTGAATATGGGTTTTATTCTGAGGGACAATATGATATTGACCGAAGGGTGATATGATATTGACCGAGGGAGCGCAGCGACCGAATGTCAATATCATATTTCCCAATATCATATTTTCCGAGGAATGAAACCCATATTCAATCCCGACCAGAAATAACCTATTTATTCCATAATACATTCCTCTAAAATGTTACATTTTGAAAATACTTTTATCAATTAGCTAAGGTTAGAAATAACAGGAAAACCAAAAATAGGTTAATATTTTCCAATATGATTTTTTTCCCGGGGACAATACGATTTTTTCATGTAATACGCTCCAATACGATTTTCTTCCCAGGGACAATACGATTTTTTCATGTAATACGATTCAATACGATTTTTATTCCTTCATTTTTCCCTGGGAAAATAGTAGTATTATGGAATAATATTTTATATGTTATATGTCATGGGTGCAGAATCAAGACACTAGCCTTGTCCGAGACAGTATTTCCTTTTACTTATCTTGATCTTCAGTTATTACTGCCTTGTTCCATGCACTTTATCTCCGTTGATATTACGATAAATTATGAGTCAAATATTGTGCATCCGCCAGCATTAGCCAATAGTGGAAGTTGCAAACAATACTAGTAACATGTGCTGGCATGCTCGCCATGTGATCCAAGTGGGCCAGCCAGCAGTCAAAAATACATTTTCATTTCAGCGACCTTTTTTTCAAGAATTTCTGTTGAAATCCTCGCAGCTCCGTGTATCAAATTGATATTCCTGCATCCACTATATCCTTGATTGATATCTATTTGATAAAATATTTGTATTTTCACGATTAAGTGTGGAAGATTTGTTCGGTTTTTGAAAAGTGTTTTTCCACTGAGCATAATGAGCCAATGCTGTAATACAATCACTGATTGCCTAATAGCGAAGCATTTTTATGGCTCCGATCTATTAGTCAAATATTTGAGCAACAATAACAAACTGTCAGTGTTGTTGGAACAAGGCGGTGATGTAAAAGAAAGTAAAAAAGACACAGACTTGGGCAAGGCTATCAAGAAAATACAACTCCTATTTCTACAATGAAATATTCAACACTAGGAATGATTTGAGAAAACATGTTTTGATCAGAAGGATTTGATCTGTTCAATGATTATTATTACCTCACATAGTAAGCTATAGCAGAAATTATTACTCACATTTCGTGGCATGTTTTAAAACCAAGGTCGGTAAAATACCCATTTTAAGTTTTTTGGTTCATCATCAATATAGAAATCCTCATGGAGTCCCAGTTCAAAAGCTCACATATTTTCAAAGTAACCACCTATTTTGGACCATTTAATAGCTGCTTTATAAATAATTTCAGGTGTCCTGAATTGTTAACACCCATGTCACTGTAAGCAGTACATGTAATTTTATGAGATAATAAAAATAATGTAAAGCTAATCAGCAAAAATTTATATCTGCTATTTTATTGTAGTCCTATTTTGAGATTTTCCATCCTAAAATGTCTCGAAAAGTAGTCTTGTTTACACTATTTGATCATGCCAAAACATTTGATTGACTTTTATCTGAAACTTTTAGAGATGTTTCTTGGTATGAAAGTTTAAAACTGGTTAGTTTTTTGCATTCTTGGTAAATGTTAAGGTGGCCATTTGGATTTTCCATCCTAAAATCTTGTCTGTAAAGTCTAGTCTCTATTTAAGCTACACCATGTGAGCCCAGCTCCCATGGTACTATTTATTCTAGTTAACTATTATGTGGTTACAGGATGCCCAGTGGTGTGACATTGATTACATGAAAGACCACCTGGACTGGACCTATGATGCTGACAAATTCAAAGACCTTCCCACGATTGTGAAAGATCTGCATGATAATGGCATGCATTATGTCAACATCATTGTAAGTAATACTTGCCTAGTACTTGCCAAGGCTGTAATATGCCACTTTAGGTACACTGTAGCATAGGAGCAATGATTTGATGAGTATTCCACTACAGACCATCTTTATTTTGTGATGTCACACCTTTGAAAATACATGTACGTTTTTTAATTTACATAGATTATTAGATACATTATTTGGATAAATTGAATAAATTATACATGTATCATGTAGTGGATTTTTTAATGAATATTTGTTTATGAAAATAAAATCATGAGAAAGAGGAAGAAAAGAGCTTTAAAATACTTTTTATTTCAAGCTTCTAGCTCAATTTTGAAGGAAGTTGCATCAATTTTTGTAAAATTCAAAATACATTATGTAAATCTTATTTTTTGGCTTGTTTATGCCACAATCACATCATCATAAACAGACATCATATAAACAGACAGCATCACCTCTATTTAAATCTTGCATGTATTAACCTAACTTTGAAATTGTACATTCCAGGACCCTGGTATCAGCAGCACTCAGCCCAAAGGCAGCTACAAACCCTATGATGATGGTCTCAGACAAGGGGTCTTTGTAATGAAGGCAGATGGCTCAGGTCCTATCATTGGAAAGGTACTTTATAATTCAAAATGCTCAGCCAAAATTATAGGCATGTTTTCATGCCAATTAGATGTATAACGCACCCATATAAAGATTCACCTTCAAACCATTTGAACTATCATCATTCAACACTTGTACAAACAAGACAACTGGTAGGTATATAAGTGCAATGGCAAAATACGAAACATGGTTGCAAAAGAAAACATCTAAGAGTACACCAGTCATAAGAAAAATAACCCCCAAATATCCTGAATCATAAACCGTGTGGAAAGAAACAGTTGCATGAAATTAACATTTTGAAGACAATGAGACAATTAAAGAAATTAAAAGATGGATTCATTATTTGAAAGATCACATTTGCGTTTAAATCACAATCTGCTGCATGTTTAGATCAACTAGATCATCTAATGGCATGTCAATGGAGTCTACATTATGCCGAGTGGAAAAATTTATAAATAAAAGTAACAAGAAGCATTTTGTATTCATGTCATTCTATATTCTAGGTGTGGCCAGGAAATACTGCATACCCTGACTTTACCAACCCTACCACCATAGACTACTGGTACCAATCTGCAAGTGACTTCCATAACCAGGTCCCCTTTGATGGCCTCTGGACTGTAAGTAAAATCAATATGGTCATCATTCATCATATTTTTGGGATTTGTGCTTCAAGCACAATCATTTATATATGAAATTGAGTACAAATAAATTAATTACAATTCTATTAATTACAATACAAACTTATTACTCAACATTAAGCTTATATCTCTTATTTTGAAAAATGGATGAGTCCAAATACAAAATGATCAGTCCCTCAAGCCATAACATTTAGCACAGAATTTGCAGTTCTGCATGTACATTTTGAATCACCCATTATTTTTATGTTTTACTCATTGGATCATACCATGGACTATTTTTTTCCAAATTAGGGGTATAAGCATTATGTCTTTATGAATTGCTTGTATTGTGTCTAATGTTTAAAGATTCGATGATGACACATTGCCTGATTATATTTTATTAATGGTGTGGTATTAATTGATATAGAATTTTACATAGACTCATGAATTTTGTGCAAAATATAAATATGTTCTTGTATGACTTTTTGAGATTTGCTTCTAGGATATGAATGAACCATCTAACTTTGATGTTGGTTCAACTGAAGGCTGTAGCACCAATCCATTAGATGACCCTCCATTCACACCAGGTAACTGCAGAAACACACACTTTCACTATTTGCATATGCACTAAGATAATTTGGAATGTTTTAGGATGTAAATGAACCAACTAATGGCCTCTATGGCTCTATAGAGGGCTGCTCTAGCACAGACACATTAGATAATCCACCATGGGTCCCAGGTAACAAGGATGGAAGTATAAAATATGATAGTATGAAATATATAGTTATCACGACCCAGTTAGAATAATTTTGCATCACACCTTTGTCCAGCTTACAAGGAGTTCCTAACACACCATATAAGTAAAAAAGACTGCATATGCTCCAAAATTCCCAAATCCAAAACATATGTCTAATTTCCACATAAGGATTCTGTAAGATTAACGAATGAATCAATTTGCATATTCACTGATGTCATAACTCATCATAACATTGTACATGTAACAGAACAATATTGATTTACAAGCTGTGTATGCATGTACAGTATGTAGCTTTTCAGTGCTGCAAGTACTTATATCTCAGTACTTAAGTCTAAAGTATGTGTAAAATATGTTTCAATGCATGTCACCACATTTCCATGGTATGTCTGAATGAGTTATGACATCATAATAAATATAGATTTTTTTTTACAGAATCTTATCTGGGGCTTCAGTCAGCTTTATTTTGCTAACAAACATGACACAATCAGACAATAAATTGTTACATCTTCTAAATTAAATAGTAGAACAAGAAAACAGTTACCATGGAAATGTTAATCAACTTACGTCTTAATTTCATAATTAATAACAGGTAGATGTATATATGAAAGCCTGACATAGTCAGCTTTCCAGTGCCACCAAGTTTGCTGATATCCGAAGTGTGTATGTTAAAAAGTATTTTCCAATCACCTTTGAGCTATACCTTTTCTGCATATATGTTATATACATATTATTTACACATCTTTTACCTGAGCTGCATGAAGGATAACCCTTACACTGAACATTTTCTCATGCCTTTGCCAAATGACTTTTCCCAAAGCCTGATTATAAGCTATTTCTTCTTTCTTACAATGAAGCATTGTTGTCTGTCTGGCATTCTGCCGGATGTCTGAACATCCCCTCCTAGACCATTTGATCTTGGGCCCTCATACTTGGTCAACATACTAAGTTGGTCTGCATTCTACGAAGGTCAGAGGTCATTCCAAGGTTAAAGGTCAATATCTAGGTGTTTGGCTTTTTAAGACCCTTGGTCTGTGCTGTGACCCTTGGTGATCAATGATTAGGTGACCTGAGCTCAAGGTCAATGTTTATAGGTCATAGTCATCTCAAGGTCGAAGGCCAATATGTAAGTATTTGCTGTTTTAATTACCTTGGGAGCTGTACCTGAGTTGAAGGTCATTCCAAGGTCAAACGTCAATATCTAGGTATTTGGTGTTTAAGACCCTGGGGGCTGCTGTGACCCTTTGGACCCATGATTAGGTGACCTTAAGTCAAAGTCAATGTTTATGGGTCAAGGTCATCTCAATGTCAAACGTCAATATCTAAGTATTTAGGATTTTAAGGCACTTGAAGGATACTGTGATCCTTGGCGACTTATGATTAGGTAACCTGAGGTCAAAGTCAATGAGAGTCAAAGGTCAAAGGTGAATATGTAGGTATTTGGTGTTTCAAGGCCTTTAGATGAGTTCATCTCAATTCAAAAATTAATCAAGGTCAATGATCAATAATCAGGTATTTAACATTTTATGAGGGCTGCTGCCATGTGGGGGCTGATGTGACCCTTGGTGACCCACTCAAATGGGTAGATTTCCAGTTGTTAATAATTATGTAAGTACTATGTACATAAATGGAAGGACAACCAATAAAAAGAGCTCGTAGAGCTTTCTGAGTTTTTCACATATTTACTTTTTCTTATTTTTACTTTTTTATTATTCTATCAAAGCAGTTTTCTCCTTCTTCAAGCATAAGTAAAGTTTAACTATAACTATATGCACTTATTACGAACCTTGTATTGCTGAATGTTTCAAATTGAACCAATCTTTGCTATTAATGTAATACATGTACGAGTATATAGGGTGTCTCAAAAAATGTACCCAAAAGTATATCAACACCATAGACAAACCAATCAATTTTTTCAGACATTTTTTGCATGGTCTTGTAGATAAAAGATGAAAGTATCTTTTCCCTGTACACAGTTTTTAATTCAGTTCTGCCTTTTTGATACTTTGACCCGTTATCTTTTGCACCACATATTCAATGTAACCTCATATTTCGATGACAGTCTGCATCCTTACTACTACATTGTTCATCACATTTGATATTTCTGGTGGAATGTTTTGATTTCTGTTCGGATGCTGGTCTTAAGTTGTTCTAGGTCTCTTAGCTTGGGTTTAGCATAAAAATGCTCCTTCAAATAGCCTCAGAGAAAAAAGTATGGGCCGTCAAATATGGTGAATAGAGAGGCCCTCACAATGTCTTATAGCCCCCTTATACAGAGAGGTCAGAGGTTCAAGAAACTGCATTGGGTGGGATTCTAGTGTTGCTTTTGTTGTGTGTATCAATTTGAGAGCACTGTGTTTTCATTTGGTATCCAGGCTAGCCTGCCTAACTCTGGAAGGTAGCTCCTGAATCATTTGCCGATAATTGACCTGATTATCTGTGTTTTTTCTGCCATCGTCATCCTCAAACATCTTTCTCTGTGGCTATTTAAAGGAGTGTTTTAATGCTCATTCCAAGCAAAAAGACCGAGAACAACTTAAGGGCAACATCCAAAGAGAAATCCAAAACATTTCACCGGAATTATTATCAAATGTGATGAACAATGTAGCAGTAAGGATACAGGCTGTCATCGAAATATGAGGTTACAACAATTTTGTGGTGTAAAAGGTAAAGGGTTAAAGCATCAAGAAGACAAGACTGAAATAAAAATGGTGTATTGGGGAGAAAACTTTCATGTTTTGGCTACATGACCATGCAAAAAATGTCTGAAAATATTGATTGGTTTATCTGTGCTCTTGATACACTTTTGGGTACATTTTTTTGAGACACCCTGTATGTCAATTATGTGTTATCTTGTGTATATTCTATATGATAAACTGTACATGTATTGTGTAATGATAGTGTAAAGTAGTATAGTGCATTGTAGTGTAGTGTTGGCTATCGGATATCCAAGTATTATTATCCCACTGAACGAAGTTCGAGGGGGATAAAGGAAAGCCGTCCGTTCGTCCGTCCGTATGACCTCTGCTCGAGAAAGAATTTTCGATATGGCCGCTTAATTAAAAATGGAATCGAATACTTGTGGATGGATTTGATTCAAATTTTATATGGTCGCCATTTATCGAAACATGTTTTGTTTGGTGGGATTTGCTACTCCATGGAGTCGCTGTTTTTCTAGTTTTAAGATTGGCACATTTAGGGGGAGGTATCTTAATTAAGTACATACAATGTCCTGGACATCCTCCTATATCTTAAATGATCAAACTTTGGTTGACCCTACCTACATGTAGGTACCGAATATTGACTTTTGCACACTCTATATTGTTTCTCATACACTCTTAAATTAATGGTATTGTTCCCCCAAAATTGAATAAGTCATATGCAGTTGGTAATATTGTATTTTGTAATTTTAATAGTATGTTGCTATAATTAAATTATTGAAAAAATGAATTTTCTGAAAAATGAGAATTTGGCGAAAAAATGAAAATTTGAAGAAAAATATTGTGAAAAAAAGTCAGGATAGTAATATCAGATGATCTTATCTACAATTAGTTGTACACTATAACCTTTTGTTGTCTACTTTTAGGTATAGCAGGTGGTAGACTTGCTGACAAGACACTGTGTGCCTCATCGAAACATCACACTACAACTCACTACAATGTACACAGTCTCTATGGGCATGGGGAGGCAATTGCCTCTAACCTGTAAGTATAATAGCTGGTCTCGGGATGCATGCACTGAATATTCGTTATCTTTGGCTTGTTGAGTGCTATACAAGCATATTGATAAGCATCACGAAAAAATGCTTTAAAATAGATCTTAATTATCCCAACGTAGGGATATAGAAAAGCTGTTCGTCCATCTGTTACACAGGGAGATATGCTGAGTACTAAAATAGAACTCATGGCATTTTAGCGCTAATTGAGTACTAATTTCATCAAATATTAGTACTAAATGAGCACTAATGACATGAGTGCTGATTTTTAGTACTTAATGAGTACTCATATGATGAGCGATAAAATAGCACTGATTTCATTGATTTTTTGATTACTCAATGAGCACTCATACTATGAGCACTGATTAAGTGCATGTTTTAGTACTAAATGAGTACTCATATCATGTAAGTCTTATTAGTACTAAATTAGCACTCGTGGCATGAGTGCTCATGAGCCCACTTTTGCCAGAGTACTAATTTTGTACTATTTTGGTACTCAGCATATCTCCCTGTGTACTATAGATCATCAGTCTGCAAAAAACAAAATTTTTTGCAGAATCCCTGATTTTCATGAAAATCCCGCGGAATTACCAGAATTTCCAGAAATTAAATATTTTACGATCTCCTACCTTTGCGGGGTTTTTGAAGAGTGTCTGTTTATGTCCAACAATCAATCATTATTGAGTACAAGTACGATTTCACCGTGAAATTCAACATTCTATCACGTTTAAATTCGCTAAAGCGAGTTCGCTAATGACGCGCAGTTCTTACCTAGAAAGTAGCTGACTTCTGTTTCCGTTTAAATCCCTTGCTATGTCAATTTTCATCGTTTTAAAAGATTGGCTAAGGACCTCTGCTAAAGGAGGCAATTTCAATATGGCCACTCATTTCAGAATGGCCAACATTTGTCATAGAAAAATGTAATCTTTGATACCTCAAATGCCAGTCGATGGATTTGTTCAAAATTTTATATCCTTATGCTTAACTCAATGCTGGCCAAAGCTATTTCGGAGGTTTTCTGCTGGTGACTGGCCATTTTGTTGAAAAATTGAGCAAAAAGGCATGTTTTCATATTAGCATAACAGGAACTGTATCAACACCCTCATTGCTATGTTTTATGCATGATAATATATTTCAATTGCACCCAACCATGCTCCCCTACTGACTTCAATATTTGGAAAGATTATTGGTACAAATTGTGTGACAATTATTGGACAGTACTCTGATGTAATGTTACAATATAAATGTCAAAATGTCATTTTAGAGCACTGAAAAAGATTCGAAACAAACGTCCCCTTGTGATCACAAGATCCTCATTCCCAAGCACTGGTAGACATGCAGGTCACTGGCTGGGAGACAATAATTCTGGCTGGAATGATCTCTATTACTCTATACCAGGTATGTAGATTGCACTATACCAATTGTAAATGTAGTGTAGGTTACTCTATACCAAATGTAAATGTAGTGTAGGTAACCCTTTACCAAGTCCATGTAAATGAAGTCTAGGTTGCCCTATACCAAGTACCCTATGTAAAGAAATAAAGGTGCATGGTCCTTTATCAGTCATATTTTTTTTATTTTTCAGTATTATCATACTAAACATTCAGATGTACAATGTATATTTGGCCCAAATGTAGAAAATTTCAAGAAATTTTGTAAATATGGTAAAAAGTGTGACTTTTTAAATCCTCTTAAAAAATCAGTCAATAGAACGACAGTCTGATTAATAACAACCAAATAAGGGGTAGGGGTAAGATAATTATAACCCCTAGCCTTTCACAATCACCCATAGATATGGTAAACATCTTAAACTTAGCATATGCATACCAACATTTATGTCAGATGTGAATATAAATGTGTTTATTGAGCAGATTGGTTACATCCAATTACAATGGTACATATATATGTAAATGTAGTGTAGGTTGCTCTACGTATACCAATTAAGTTCATGTAAATGTAGCGTAGGTTACTCTCTACCAAGTATATGTAATTTTAGTGTAGGTTACTCCATACCAAGTTCATGTAAATGTAGTACAGGTTACTCCATACCAAGTTCATGTAAATGTAGTACAGGTTACTCCTTACCAAGTTCATGTAAATGTAGTACAGGTTACTCCATACCAAGTTCATGTAAATGTAGTACAGGTTACACTTTACCAAGTTCATGTAAATGTAGTACAGGTTACTCTATATCAAGTTCATGTTAATGTTGTACAGGTTACTCCATACCAAGTTCATGTAAATGTAGTACAGGTTACTCCATACCAAGTTCATGCAAATGTAGTGCAGGTTACTCTCTACCAAGTTCATGTAAATTTAGTGTAGGTTACTCTATACCAAGTTCATGCAAATGTAGTGCAGGTTACTCTATACCAAGTTCATGTAAATTTAGTGTAGGTTACTCAATACCAAGTTCATGTAAATGTAGTACAGGTTACTCCATACCAAGTTCATGTAAATGTAGTGCAGGTTACTCTATACCAAGTTCATGTAAATGTAGCGTAGGTTACTCTCTACCAAGTCCATGTAAATTTAGTGTAGTTTACTCTATACCAAGTCCATGTACATATTCCTTATCTAGTGGTCCTAGAAATTCTGACTCCTAGTAAATACATTACCAATACTATAACTACCACCAGAAGTGGTGACATATTGTTATAGTCTCCATCTTTTTGTAAACCATATTCAGCATCTATAACATGGCGTCTGTAACAAATGGCAAATAGTGACATTTTGCATGTTATTACCTATAACATAGTGAATTGATTTCCTTAACATAGCATTATGTTTCAGGTATTTTGAACTTCAATATGTTTGGAATTCCTCTGGTAGGACCTGATACATGTGGATTTGGTGGCACCACAACTGAGGAGCTGTGTACACGCTGGATGGAACTGGCAGCTTTCTACCCATTCATGAGGAATCATAACACTATCGGAGCTAAGGTATGATTAAAAAAGAAGATCCCCTTCTCTACAAATCAAGTTCAAGTATATAGGTATAACATGTAATCTACAAAAATATTTTGAATTTGTTGACCTTGTCCCTTAACTTGTAAATATGAATATCTTCTTTTATCCATGGTCTGAATATGGACTAGAATCAGAGAATCAGTATAAGAAATGTGTACAATAGTACTGAATGATAGTCATCATATTCATGTTTGTAGGATCAAGATCCTGCTGTATTTAGCCCTGCTGCACAGGATACCATGAGGGATGCTCTGATGATGCGTTACAACCTTCTGCCACATCTTTATACTCTCTTCTACAGAGCACACATCAATGGTTCTATGGTTGTACGCCCTCTATCGTTCCAGTAAGTAAAATGAACATATGCAGTATTACAGTAGTTGATCTGTCTAGTTATTGATTGAAAAACCCTAAAACACAGGAACATATGCAGTATTAGTTGATCTAACTCATAATATTATCTGTTCTGTTCAAATCTAGGTATCCTAAAGATAAAGCCACATACGCCATAGATAAACAATTTCTTTGGAGCAACACTCTCATGATCTCCCCAGTGTTAGAACAGGTAAGTTGTGCAAGACTCTCCAGGGCTTGAACAGATAGCCAGAATAACTCTCATATGATTTCTCCAGTGCTAGAACAGGTTGATGTAGCAATTCCCCGGTAGTCTCATTAATCTGAACTTCAACGAAACTGCCATTACTGAGTGGTCACTCCTTGAACAGCACTCATGGACTTTACATGTATTAACTTACTCATGTAATTCTTTATATTGGTATGTTGTATTTCTTCCAGGGCAAGACTTCAGTTAGTGCCTATCTGCCAAGAGACACCTGGTTTGACTACCACTCTGGTGTTGCTGTAACTGGCACAGGGAGCTGGGTAACCCTCAATGCCCCTCTTAACTACATTAATGTTCATGTCAGGGGTGGCTCAATCATTCCTCGCCAGCAGGCAGATGTCACAACCACTGCTGCGTTAGTCTCCTCTTTCATTTTTATTAGCTCACATGGTGAGCTTTTGCAATCGCTCACTTGTCCGTCTGTCTGTCCGTCTGTCCGTCCGTCTGTCTGTCTGTCTGTCCGTCAACAATAGTGGCACGTTTTAAAACCTCTGTCGATAGGATTCCTGTTTTAAGTTTTTTCTGTTCAACATCAATACAGAAAACTCCCCTATGACTCCTGGTTCAAAAGCTCGCCTATTTTCAAAATGGCCGCCATTTTTGTCTCGCGAAATTCACTTTTGACTGGCACGTTTTAAAACCTCTGTCGATAAGATTCCTGTTTTAAGTTATTTCTGTTCAACATCAATACAGAAAACTCCCCTATGACTCCTGGTTCAAAAGCTCGCCTATTTTCAAAATGGACACCATTTTTGTCTTGCGAAATTCACTTTTGACCCATTTCCTAGCTTTACAAATAATTTCAGGTGTCCTACATTGTAAAAATCTGTGTCAATGTAAAGAGTAGATATACACGCCCGGTGATCGTGAATATGGGATGGAGGGGGGAGCAGGCAATTTCTGCTAGGAAATTCAACAAATCTGGAAGATTTATTTTTTCAAGAAAAAGTTTACTATTGAATTGCTAAATGGATAGGCGCACGGTATGGTAGAATATGTTAGGTTTTCTGGGATTTTTTCTGAAACGATACGCATCTAAGGTATGAGATCTATTAAAAAAGGCGCAAGGCCATCAACAGGCACAAATCAACGTTTTTGCTATAAATCAAGCAACAATGGACTACACTACCTGTAATAAATACTTGTAAGTGATGTTATCATAACTAAATTAATGTCATTGCTGAATTTATAAAATAAGTTTCCATACGTAAAATAAAAAATAATCGAAAATAATTAAAATGGGACGGAGGGGGGGGAGGGGACGGAGGGGGGAGTAATAATTCTATAAAGTGAAACAACTTCACACGAATTCTTGTATTTGAAAAATGAACTCATTAACTTAGTAAGAAACTGGATGATATACCCCTGGAGACTGAAAAATGGGGACATTTGGAGTAAAAGGACTTGAAGTCGCGAAACATCTCTAATCATGTCTTATATACATCTTCCAGATTTGTTGAATTTCCTAGCAGAAATTGCCTGCTCCCCCTCCGTCCCATATTCACGATCACCGGGCGTGTATATGAAATAATTTTGTTACAAAAAATCAGCTAAAAATTATATCTATTTTTTTTATTTTCAGCCATTTTAGTTAACATTGATTTGTCCATCTGACTTGTGAAATCCACTTTTCCGTCAACAACAGTGGCACGTTTTAAAACCTCTGTCGATAGGATTCCTGTTTTAAGTTATTTCTGTTCAACATCAATACAGAAAACTCCCCTATGACTCCTGGCTCAAAAGCTCGCCTATTTTCAAAATGGCCGCCATTTTTGTCTCGCGAAATTCACTTTTGACCTATTTCCTAGCTTTACAAATAATTTCAAGTGTCCTACATTGTAAAAATCCATGTCAATGTAAAGAGTAGATGTATGAAATAATTTTGTTACAAAAAATCAGCAAAAATTAATTTCCATTTATTTTATTTTCAGCCATTTTAGTTAACATTGATTTGTCCATCTGTCTCGCAAAATCCACTTTTGGACCATTCGCCTTAAACCCTCTGTTGATAGGATTCCTGTTTTAAGTTAAGTTTAATTTAAGTTTTAAGTTTGTTCAACATCAATACAAAAAACTCTCCTATGACTCTTGGTTCAAAAGCTCGCCTATTTTCAAAATGGTCACCATTCTTGTCTCGCGAAATTCACTTTTGGCCCATTTCCTAGCTTTACAAATAATTTCAGCTGTCCTGCATTGTAAAAAGCCATGTCACTGTAAATAGTATTTGTATGAAATAATTTTGTTACAAAAAATCGGCAAAATATTATATCAGTTTTTTTTATTTTCAGCCATTTTAGTTAACATTGATTCGTCTATCTGTCTCTCAGTCAGTCCAAAAAAGTGGCAAGTTTTAAACCTCTGTCAACACTTTTTAAATCCTCTGTAGATAGGATTCCCGATTTAAAATAATTTTGTTCAACATCAATAAAGAAAAAAAACCTGTGACTCCTGCTTCAAAATCTCGCCTAATTTCAAAATGGCCACCATTTTTGTCTCGGGAAATTCACTTTTGGCCCATTTCCTAGCTTTACAAATAAGTTCAGGTGTCCTGCATTGTAAAAAGCCATGTCTTTGTAAAGAGTAGTTGTATGAAATAATTTTGTCACAAAAAATCTGCAAAAAATTATACCCGTCTTTTTTATTTTCACTTTTGAGCAACACCATGTGAGCCCAGTACCCACGGTACTAATTTTTCACATTAATTGTTACGGCTCTTATGATACAGCATGACACAAAAATGCATCAAGCAATTCATCATAATTTACAAAAGTATTCTATGAAAATGAGTAGATACTGTACATATTATTATCAATAAGGATAAAAGAAGCATCCAATGAGAGGACTGATAAACAAAGTTGATTCAATCTTGATCGTAAATAGATTGTAAAAATCTGCACTATTTCAAGGATACAGTAGAGAGAATATGTTGTATTTGTTTTCAGGAGAAAGAATCCCTTCAATCTGCTTGTTGTCCTGTCTGCTAACGGGAAGGCAACTGGAGAGCTGTATTGGGATGATGGTGATACCATAGGTATACGCTTTCTAGAAATTCATCACTTGAATTGAGCCTAATGCACATGTGAATTCTGATACTCATTGCATCTTTCTGTTTCACTTGAAACATCTCAGGGCTGAGAAGAAATGAGATGTCATGGTTGATCTTGATGCATACTGTATGTGGGCCTGATTGAGGTTACTGATTAAAAGAAGCCATTTTAGAGAACTCGTTTTTTAATTTCCCTGGGTCATTTTTTGTGACATCATATTGATCCTTTGCTAAATTTGAAAGTAGATGTATTTCTTCCTTTTGCTAACAGGGTAGACTTCTAGTATAATGTTTATTATTAACTTACAGATACTACAGAGCATGGTGTATACAACCTCATACAGTTCACTGCTTATAATGTAAGTATAGCATAGAAAAATCAATCAAAAATGGTTATCAACTTATCATAGATATCAGATCTGATTATTTTTTTCAGTGTTTATAATTGAAATTACTCAAAATGGATTTGGTAACGAAAAACAAAATGTCAGTCACCTTTAAACCAATATTAATGAGCATACAATGTATGTACAAGATGAATGTGAGAAGTTGAATTAAAAGGCAATGACAATGACTGACTTGACATGGAAACATGTTATGAGTTATAAAAAATGTCTGCCAATGTCTGTTACCATAGCAACAAATAGGTGGACTTGAAACACTTTGTAACCATTTGCAAATATTTAATATCTATGAAGTAGGGTTCACATGCGGACCTGAATTTTTTATTGTGAACACATATCACACCTGCCAACCTACTGTGTTTTTAGGGGAATCTACCGTAAAATTTTCGTTTTTCCGTAAAAAATGGCCGTAAAATATCCCGTAAATGTTTGGAAATCTACCGTATTTCTGCTGAATTTAACAGTATTCTTGTTCAAACTACTGTAAAATCTACAGTTATTATTTGGGAATTCTGAAAAATTGAAATCTTCCAGTATTGCCCTTGTAATATTCCATTACCAACCCGGAAATAAATAGGTGTCGGCAGGTCTGTGACAGTGGTTATTGCGAACTTAGTAAGCTGGCGTGTAATCAGTCAACACACTGGGGAGTATCGTGATGCAAAAACACAGTGTTCAACTACCACAGGTTCTACTGTAAAGAGTTCCATAAATGCTGTTTTAGAAAAACATACTTTATTATTTATTCATTGAAGTGTGTCAAAATCTACGCAAAATCAGTTTTTTTAAATCTACCGCATTTTTTCAAAATCTTCCGCAAAAACAACCACATTTTTTTAATCTACTGTAAAACTACCGCATTTTTCAAAACCTTCCGCAAAACTTCTGTTTTTTCAAACATCGACCATATTTTTTCAAAAACAACCACATTTTTCAAAAACATACGAAAAAGTAATGTTTTTTCAAAAATCTACCGCAAAAACTACCAAAACTTACTTTCGGTCCTAGGTTGGCATGTATGCATATACATATATACATGTTGCAACTTTTAACATATTTTTGGCAGTTTCAGTTACCATGGAAACTGATTATTTTTGAGACTATTGGAGGTGCCAAATGTTTGGGACTGTAACTATTTGTGCACTTTTGTAACCATTTACAATTACATTTTGTCATGTTAATTGCTTATTATATCTGTATATTTTACATTACTGCTTTCTGATGCCGATTTGACATCTTAATTTTTTAGAACACCCTACAATCAAGAGTACAATTAGCTAACTTCCATACATCAATGGTGCTAGGTGAGGTTGATGTATTTGGACTCCTTTCCAAACCTTCAGCAGTCTCAGTCAATGGAAAGTCTGCCACATTTCACTTCACCGAAAACAAGGTATGATTCCTAGAAGTCCATGTACACATACTACTATATTGTTCTTACTTTCTAGAAGTATACACTATGTTGTTGTTATTTCCTAGTTACATGCATAATAAGTTGTTCTTAAATCCTAGTATTACACAGGCTGTATTGTTCTTGATTCCTACCGTAGTCATCAATAATGCACTACGTTCTTCTTAATGCCAAGCTGAAGGCCTTATAGGATAAGTTTGTGTCATATTCTGTTCATTTTGTAATATGAAGTTTTTACTTTAAATTCACTGTTTGAGGGCTATTTAGAGGTTAACCCTCTCACAAATGTTATTATTTTCAAGAGAGGGCGAGAGGTCTTAGAGTCTGATCTATATATATATATATATACAAATTATATTACATATTTTTAGGTGCTTTCAATTAGTGTTGTGCCATTGAGTGTAGACCTGCAGCAATCATTTACAGCAACATGGACTCTGTAGCACAAGTCACCATTCACAAATAAGGGAGCAACACAATCCCTGTAACTTGAATTGTTTACAATAGAGGCAGCAGGGGTCTTCTATAGTCATTGTTTAAGGCCAGGAGCTGGCAACATTGTACTTAATTGACACACTAGAGATCAACTGGAACGAAGACATTATGTCATATCTACGAGGGTTGTCCCAGAAGTAATGCACTATATACTAAGTCCAAATGAAGCTCCAAATACATGTTACTACTTGCTATATACAGTAAATCTAATTGTGTTTGTTGCAAGTCGAATATATGCCTTTCATTTTGTTGCTACAAAGCAGAAAACTGTATTTGTTTCCTTAGTGAGGTAATTGATTTGTAAATACCCAAACAAGTACCCTTTGTTTGTTAGATGTGAAATCATATTTTGAAACTGAAATCTACACACGACACAAAGTGCCAAATATTTTGTTGAAATTTGGAGGATAAAAGCAATTAAATCAAGAAAACAAAAAATTGTACCAAATTCTACTTCTGGAACTCCAGCCATGTTGAAATATAGACGTATTTAGAGAGGCAATTTGATGCAAAAGATGCATACATGTACCTGTAGAAGAATTCTTTTTTTTCAGTTTTCCGTTTCGTGTATATAATTCTTAGGATAAAGGCCCTATCCTAAAGCATCTTTATTTGAGAGAGACATATAATATTTTGTTTCCAGTTGATCCCCATTGTGACAGGGGCACTCAATAAAGTGTATGACAATTTGCTGATATTATAAGTATTACATATATATTACTGCTAACTTAAGCTTCATCCAACTGTTATTGAATATAAGTATTAGGACAGCATACATATGTACTTACAAGTGTAAGTATATGTGTATATAAAACATAAAGGCATTGTGCAATCACTCAATAAGGGGTTTATTACTAGTAACTGAAGTATATTTTTGTAATTATAGTACAAGAGACAAAGCGTAGCACTGTACATACATGTAAGCTTGCTTGACCCCCTCCCCTTATCTACTCCACCGCCAAAGGTATGTTGTGTGTAATGGGAGGGGTCACAAGGACTTGTAGCTAGAATACACTACAAATAATAGAATAAACATATATTGTAGTACCACTTGTAACTTTTCACTGTCCTGTTTCTTCTTTTCATTGAGTTCTATGTAAAAAAAACAGTGCCATTCTTTATCTAATGCTTTGTATTAGCCATATTGGATTATTGAATTTCGCTATGTTAAATATCTGCATTATTTCAAACTTGCAATGTACCCTTTCGAGTGGGTCACCAAGAGTCACAACATCCCCCATAAAATGCTAACCTGTATATTGATCGTTTGACCTTGACTGGCATTGAAACACCAAATCTAGATATTCACCTTTGATCTTGAGGTGACCCTGGCCCATAAACATTGACTTTGACCTCAGGTCACCTAATCATGAGTCGCCAAAGCCTACAAGTGTCTTAAAACACCAAATCTTAGATTTTGACCTTGAGATGACCTTGACCCATAAACATTGACCTTAATCTCAGGTCACCTAATCATTGGTCACCAAGGGTCACAGCAGCCCCCAGGATCTTAACACTGGCAGATCCAGTATAACAAGGGGGAGGACAAATTACAAACCAAGGAAAAAGAATTTTGGACCCCTATTTCTAAAAATTGGGCCCATGTTTTGAAAAGGTCCACATGCAGTTTAGCAAGTGATTTTAAACGGTCATATCTTTCACCATGAGTACTTTCTGGGCATAAATACAGTTGTTTTCATTAAAACAATATGTTTTCTTTCGAGGGAAGTCCCCATGATGATAAAAATATCAATCGTGCAATTCGAAAAATGATAAATAGGGACCCCACATCAACGTTGAACTTATTTGCTCAAAAGAGGATCTTCTTTTTCTGATTTTTATTGCATGAAAAGATTATTCAACAAGGGGTCTAAAACATCTTCAAAAGTAGAATGGTATTGAAAGTCTAGTTTTGAAGATATCAATTTTCGATGACCAAAAGCATGCTGAAAACAATGGATAGCATGAGTTTTTCCCTATGGGAAAATAACATTGGAAATGTGGTTTTTAACTTTATCGCATTTCAATACCCATCCCCTTTTCAGAAGTTATTAATAGTGTAGGAGAATCTTTTGATATTTAAATTGAGAAAAACAAGATCCTCTTTTTTAGAAAATAAGCCTTACATTTTTAAAAAAGTTACAAGGTGGGGTCCTAATTCATAATTTTCCAGAGAGTTGGATTGATATTTTACTATCATGGGGACTTCACTTGAAAGAAGACATATTGTTTTAATAAAAACCACTGTATTTATATCCAGAAAGTACTCATGGTGAAAGATATGGCTGTCTAAATCACTTGCCATACTGCAAATGGACCTTTGAGGCACATTTTTGACAATTTGGCCTTGAAAGGCCCAAAAAAGCCAAGTAATGCCCAAAAAGGCCCACTAATTGAGGCCATACAAAATTTTCGTTTGGGCCCAAAACTTTTCTGGGCCCACCCAAGAGGTGCCCCCCCTGGATCCACATGCTTATCATGCTGAATACTGTACATATCTATAGTGACTGTGTGTCAGATTCTACATGTCTATTGTGGCTGTGTGTTAGACTGTACATATGTCTATTGTGGCTATGTGTTAAATTGTACAAGTGTATTATAGCTGTGTGTTAGACTGCACATGTGTATTATGGCTATGTGTTAGACTGCACATGTGTATTATGGCTGTGTTTGACTGCACGTGTGTATTGTGGCTATGTGTTAGACTGTACATGTGTATTATAGCTGTGTGTTAGACTGCACATGTGTATTATGGCGATGTGTTAGACTGCACATGTGTATTATGGCTGTGTTAGACTACACATTTGTATTATGGATGTGTTTTAGACTGTATACATATGTATTGTGACTGGGTGGTAGATTTTACATGTGTATTTTGGCTATTGTTAGACTGTACATATGTTTACTTGTGTGTTAGACTGTACATGTGCATTAGTATTATGTCAGTTTGTTAGGCTATACATGTGTATTATGACTGCATGTTAAACTGTACATGTATATTATGTCATCGTGGTTGTGTGTTGGACTACATGTGACTGTGTGTTAGACTGTACATGTCATTGTGGTTGTGTGTTAGACTGTACATTTGTATTATGGATGTGTTTTAGACTGTATACATATGTATTGTGACTGTGTGGTAGACTATATATGTCATTGTGGTTGTGTGTTAGACTGTACATGTGACTGTGTGTTAGACTATATATGTCATTGTGGTTGTGTGTTAGACTGTACATGTGACTGTGTGTTAGACTATATATGTCATTGTGGTTGTGTGTTAGACTGTACATGTGTATTATGGATGTGTGTTAGACTGTAAATGTGACTGTATGTTAGACTATATAGAATTTGGAATTTATTAAGGCACTGCCACTGTGTTATCAGGGCATGGCCAGACTACAATTATACAAACTACATAGTTACATTTATACAGTCACATTAATCTACAAAGATATTGTGTTGTAATGGTTGCGATGTTATAGATTTCTTTTCTTTTATGTCATTGTGGTTGTGTGTTAGACTGTGCATGTGTATTATGCCATTGTGGTTGTGTGTTAGACTGTACATTTGTATTGTGTTTGTGACTATGATAGACTGTACATGTGCATTTTATCACTGTTGACTGTATCTTAGACGATGTATATATTTATGTTATGTTATTGTGGTTGTGTGTTAGACTGTACATTTGTATTGTGGCTGCATGTTAGACAGCTAGGACATATTTATGTTGCTATACTGTGTACTTCTGATTGGAAGTGGTCCATGGTTAGAAGAATGTTATGTGTGGTTGTATTTTAGACTGTACATATTTATATTATGCTTTGTGGTTGTGCTTTCAAGAGATGGGTATGCAACTCTTATAAACATGAGAACTTCTAAATGAACAGTGCCATGCTTCCCTTTTTTGATAATATTGCAAAGAGTTTTAATGTATATGTTTTGGTATTTTATCCTAAAGAAACATCAATTTTGAATATGATTGTGACCAGGAATTGTGACTGTTATTGCCATATCTCGGCTGATATTTCGTTTCACTTCTAGAAGTTTGACATTTATGACGTCACCAGGAAGTATTGGTAAACAGAAATAAGACATGGAAGAGGATAAAATGCACACAGATTCCTCATTTAAGAGTGCTACTCTTCAACTGAACACTAGTCAAGGTGACAATACAGAGCCAGAGGTCCTTATCAACACCGGGGCACGAATAAAAAGACCGCTGTCGTTAAACGCTACGAATGTCGGAGATCTGAACATGTCTGATGCTGAAGCAAAAACTTATTTCAGCAAAAGGGTGAATATTTTATTCAACTGTCTCTTGATCATGCGTCATACATGAATACATATGGTTGTGTTGTTGATACCACCCAAAAATAAGCAATCAAAAGACCACGGTAGATATCATTAAATTCTTGTATCCGAACCTAGATGTTTCATTTCGGCTTCAAGAATTGCAATACAGTTGGGGACATAAATAAATGACAGGTGGATTTGCTGAAGTGAGGATTTCCCATGTTAAAAATAAGAGAATTTACAAGAGGCCATAAATCAGTGGATGAGATTATACAAAATGTAAAATATACAAATTTTAAGGGATATGTATCTAGACAATATTGGAAATTATGGGCTTTCAGACCACCATAATTAGGAAATGGTGATCGAAAATTGACCTGTCATTTATTTTTGTCCCCAACTGTACATGTACATGTACAGTACATGCAAGACCACAGACTGTGTCACAATGTAATTTAGTCAATATATTCATGGAGGAGCTATTAGACCTGGTAATTTAGGAGAGTTAGTAAATCAAAACACCACAATGCCCTTATGGAAAAATATATTATGTTGAGTTTCAAGATATATACATGGCATCCACAAATGTCATGATTTTGCTCATACTGTATGGCTCATATCACAATACTGAGAATAAAAAAGAAAATATTTTTCAAATTTACATGTAAATTGGTTTCTCATCCATGTTGCATTCATGAAATCTTAGAAGTTACAGTATGCTAAAGCCTCAAAACTTGATCCTACTCACATGGTAATGAGAAATAGAGAATGAATATTCTCTGGCCTTATCTTATATTGCTTATTTTCCTTACAGGTTGGATCATTTGAAAATGCTGTGGAAGACTGCAAATCACTCTTAAATTCTGGTGTTGATGGGGACATAGTGGGAGCTTGGTTACTTACAGAGTAAGTTTCTCAATGTTTCAGTTTACATGTACTTGCTAAAGCATTGCCAAAACAAGTTCAATATGTTGAAAGATTATAGGCAGAGATAAAAATAGACATACCTGAGAGGAGGAGAGAAGTCATAGTTTAAAGTTGACCTCATAATTTCTTCCACATGTACCTTTCATTTCATGCAACTTTTCCACCATCAGCTCTTAAGTGAAAACTACATGATTACCTGAAGCGTCTTTATCATTTTTAAGCATTTGCCATTTAAGAAGTAAATGTAGTGATCACGTGAAAATTTTTATTGTCAACACATATATAAACATATTAGACTTTAAACATGTTTTATTATTGACTGACTTCACATTTTTACTTTGAACATATATAAATAATGTTATTAGTTCCAACACATTTCTGCCAATATGTGTTACTATGGCAACACATTTTGAAACCATTTGTAATGATTTATGTGGTGCTCACATGGAGTTGAAATTTTTTATTATCAACACATATAGACATGTTAACATTTTAATATGCCTTACTCATCAGAGCTGGGGCATCCCCATCTCCACATCAGTATGATGTTTTAATGTCATAATCATAATGTTGACATCTTATTTATCTTGATGTCGAATACCACGTCATAGTATGGCTTTAGTACATCAGAAACTTTGTTTAGCGGGATACTTCAATGATTGCTGTTCTTATGTCACCACTTCTGGTGTAGTCAAATGGCCATCAGTGGTTGGCTTCTGTTACAAATACAGTACCTATGATATTTGAATGTTAATGCCTTGTTCTACTTTGTTCTGATTTATTTTAGGATTGACCACTGGGACAATGAGAGAGAAAAGATTGTGATTCTTACCCAGAATTCACTGATATCTGTGCGCTATGATTTCATTGGCCTGAAAATTTATGACAGCAAGAAAGTTCTCTTACACATGATCACAAAGCTGCAGGAAGGACACTTCATGTACCCTGAGAAATCTGTCATGGAGTAAGTATATATGGCTTATGAATATGGCCTGTTCATGCATAGTCATTATTATCTACCCATTGAGCCAAACAACTTCTGTTGTTCAGTTATGAATGTAACATACCCTTTCATCCCCTTCTCTACCACAATACAAGGGATCAAAATGTTATGTAGCTTTTGAAAACTTCTGTTTTTCAGTTATAGAGGTGATAAACCCTCTTAGTCTAATCTACTCTCCTTTACCCAAACATAAGGGATCTACATGATTTCTAAACGAAGTTGATGACACACACTTTTTCTTTGATAATAAAACATTACTAGATGTCATGAATGTTTTAATATAAAATTGTATACACTTAATTGTTCATGAAATGTTGAGGTGTATCTCACTTTTATGAAACTAGGCTATGTAATCATGTTTTGGTCATTTGATTTCTTTCAAAGTTAGGATGTAAACAATTATATATTGACTTTTTAGCTTTTTAGATGTCCTTTGATATTATATCATGACCCTGATTGTAAATATGCAGTTCTATAAACACCCTGAGAGATTACTTGATATGTTGTAATTAGAGATTTATTTCTATATTTCAGGCCTCGTAAATCTGTTGGAATACGTGCATCTTGGGGCAGGACTGAGACCCTGTCATTCAGTCAAAAGTGGAACCCTTGGTCATCAGCCATCCCTTATATAACCTTTACACATCACCCCCTGCACCACAATGTGGAGGATGTTGACATCATCACATACAACGTAGACAACTTCTACAAGGCCTTTACACAACAGGTTCAGAACTGCCACTTGGAGAAGAAAACAGGAGTTTCCCCGACTGTTACAAAGGGATCTCTGTTGATCGAGTCGTATGCAAGCTTGACTTCTATGATACATAATCAAAGCCACCTTGGATTCTCTAGGGAGAGAGGTGGTGTTAGTTTCTAACTGTTTGAAAAATGGACAAAACAATGATTCTATACAATGTATATTATATATACATGTATACTGTATGTTATATATATATATATTGTCCTCATTCAGATTTGAATGATCATTCTACGAGACAATGTGATTGGCCACCATGAACAAATTGAGTGATGAACAAGTCAAGTTATAAAGATCTGGAAGTCATGTATTAGGGCCAGAGGTGTATATTTACTCCTGTAAACAGTTGTGATGTTGTGAAGAAATAGTGAAGATAAAGCTTGTGTCTTATGCCACATTTTTATAAAGTGCTATTGTAAACAACTTTGAGAGATTTTTCCTCACACATGTCGCAGTTTATGACCAAGCAATGGGTCGTAGCATCTGTTATAGATTTATGTGATTGGGGTCTACTCTACATAAGAGGGATGGTTGTAATGTAGCCTATATTATTACTGCTCATAATGCTTATTGGGTGTCTATTCAATACAACTTAACCTTTTTAGCTCATATGGTGAGCTTTTGTATATATACTTTGTATTTATCTGTTAGTTGGTTGGGATTATGATCTGCTACAACATAAATGTATGTGATGCTTTATCCAATGCTTTCTTCAGTATGTGTGTATAAATGTGCGTGTTGCGATTTATATATTGATTATCAGCCCATCCTCCCATATTTTTCAATATAAATATTCTGACTTACTAATTAAAAGAATCAATTGTCATATCAAAAGTGACTAAGTGAGTATAGGGATATCATGTGTTAAATTTTTCACTCTGGAAGACTAATCCTTCATTCACTGGTGATATTAGATTAATCTTGGAAAGTTTCAATTGATTTGACATTCATTTGGCAATATTGAAATAAGTTCATCTTCCTAGGAAATCAGTGTAATGTTTTTAGGAATAGGAATAGGAAGTAAAATGAAAAATGAAACTAGTTTTTTGATATGAGGATGTAGGTAAAAGCTAGCTTATTATTGTGATACTGAACTTGTATTTAATTTCAAATTATGTCAGATGGGGCTGACCAGCTCAGATGAGTAGGACTGTCTGAGTTGGCATATTATATATATTTTTGTGCTAGTCTTTTTGTGCTAGTCTTCTAAGAATGTGTAAATGTTAGAAAAGAAAAATTATACATTGCAAAATATTAGGACAGAACCTATTGGTAAAAGTAGGAAATATTCTCCAAATTCTCTTTTCTCCAATAGAAAAGATAGAAATACGTTATCTTTTAAAGATATCATGATCTGAAGGTAATAAATGAATGACCTGATATTGTTTTGCAGATGTTGATAACATCACATTTTGTATTTCACAGTTTAGAAAGTCTATGGGTAAGCATCAATTCAGAATTAATTATAGAGACTGGGACAACTTTGAATTATTTTGGCCATCCATCTGTCAGTCAGCCAGTCCCTTCATGACAATTATACAAAATAAAAACTGTTTTGAAGTCTTAAATGTTCACCTCATGCAAGAATTCTCAATAATCAGATCTCTTATATCACTAGATTGTACCGAAATATTATATTGTGAAGAGACATATTGCAGATTCATGAATAATTTGTTCGTTGAGGTTTGCTACTCTGTGGAGTCGCCACTTTCTAGTTATATCATAAAGGTGTGAGGAATGACAAATTATTGCCCACAAGATTTTTGATGAAAGGATCTAAATTCAATATGTAACAAGATATTTTCAGATATTTCGTGGTGCTATTATTTTCTTATGTTATTGGAAAAAGTAAGACCTGACTGACTTAAATATACACCAAAATTATTTTTGTTTTTGTTTGTTATGATGTTTTCTTGGAAATCTCCTGGTTTAGATACTGTTATGTTTGAATATCAGGGCTTTTTGCCTGACTTTCTAATCAATACTTGCTACTTTTTACAAGTTTGAAATTTACAACACAAACTGTACTGCAGTGCAAAAGACAACATGTGAACATTGTAGTTTATAAATCCATGTTCAGATGTAATAACAAAATAAAATTGTTTAATTATGTGTGCAAAACAACACATTTCTGTTATATTATCTGTTCTCACAGAATTTTGCGTAATTTACCCAAGCCTGCGTCATCCAAACACCATGATTGATTGATAATTATCTTGAACATGCAAACATTTCAACTTGATTCCTACTTCCTGTCAGCCATTTTGAGACAAAACACTACAATAATTGATAATGTCTCGCCTCTGAAGACAAAATTTAATGCACCTGGTTCTATTATTTGAGGCAGGATTAATACTAGAACAGCAATACCCCTGAGTAGCAATTCCTATTGAACAAAACATATTACTGAATCACTTTAATCCAGCATAAAACATTAACCTGTGAATTCAGAAGCCACCTTGAAAATCTGTGGTCCTCAACATATTACACAGTCACTATGTCTGTTTCTGCAGATTTTGTAAGATCTGTTTTTCTCCATTTCCAATTATCATTATCATATGCATACTAATTTTGTAACAATTGTTACATACTGAAGTGTTATACCAGCGCGGTATGTCATGGGTGTAGCTATTGCTAAAATCATAGGTTTGTTTTGTTCATTTGGATTTGCTACTCTGTGACTAACTTGCTGTTTGTCTTGTTTGGAAAAGCCTTGCTATCCCCAGTATTATCTTTTACTTGAAATTAAGGAATTTGAGCAAGAGCCAGGCTAATACTACTGTATCTGGGGCCTACCATACTCACAACATACTCAACGATTTAAAATTCATAATTCATTTATTAACCAAGAAATCCTAATAGCAGTAGTATATAATGTATAGTTAGATCATAACCAATAATTTAATAGTTTTAACAAAAAAGTAGAGTATGATAAATAGTACCATGGGTATTATTGTGTAAGGCTTTCATTTCAAGAGAAGCCATATTATATGACCACCTTTCACCATATAACATGTTATGATTGTGTATATCTTATAAACTATGATTGTGCATTGACTTTTCTTGTTATTCCAAGCAAATTGAATACTTTTCGAGTTTACAATCAAAAAGAGCTGAAAACATAATTTTTGGCAATATGAGTGGCAGCCATTTGGAAAGGAGGCGAGCTTTTGAGACACCACTGATGGACCAATTGAGAACTTTATTTATACACATTTCAGAAGTGTAACCTAAACACTTAGCTGCCTGTACAATTTACAAAAACTGGTAAAACACATTTTGCTTATACATTCATGTTAACCTAAAGTACCTGTACAATTTCAAGCAAATACACTAGATGCGAGTAGAAATAATTTTGATTTACGTCATTAGAAATTAAAAATACAGTCAAAATGTAAAATTACATCTAGAAATGTGGTTTTAAAAAGTGTTTATCAAAATAGAAAATTGAATTTTCTTTGAAAATGTGACTTCTAGGTCGGGGCAATTCCCTATACATCCCATGTTATAAAATCACAAAACATGAAATATCTTTCCTTATATAGGACAGATAATATTTTCTATTACTGTACATATTTTATTACTAGAATCACTAATAAAACTGATAAAAGTTCAAGTTTAAGGGAATTTTCGAATACCCTGCCATGTTATTTACCCCAAATCAGCCACCTGGTGGTGAAAATGGTAACTACCTACTCGCATCTGGGTAATTGCTGAAATTTTGGAGTTATGACCAAAAAGCCTGCCATTTTGAATGAGGCATGCTTTTATGTTCAGCATAACTTTTAGTACTACAGACCAGGACTGAATTTGATCACATCTAAGATATGTCATGACTTCAGATCCTTGTGAAGAATAAACATCTGTGTAAATATTAGTTTGTTACATTTTAGTATGAATCAGGCTAGGCTGAAAAGAGGATTTTATTATAATATAATTCCCAAGACCAAGTTTAACTGTATGTTGAAAACTATGACTGTTGTGTAGTATGTCTTGCTATGCTATCAAGCCAAATCAAACATTTTTCATACATCCATCAACTCATATAGAAAGTGCTCTACAGTATCAATGAATCTTAATCCTAAGAAGATGGAAGAGTTTTCCTTACACAGCGAATACAAGGCACTTTTCTCAACAAGTCATGATTCAATGAATTTGACGAATGTAACTACTTTCAAATATCAAAACATACATTTATCCTGATTGACAATAATAACGGCTCCTTACAAATGTGATAGCACAGTCTTAAATTCATTCCTATCATTGCATACTTTCAACCATTTTTTAACATTAGATGGGGCGGAATCTCCCTGCTTTGTCTGTTGTAATGCAGCCCATACACAGATATCAGCCAATGAAACATCAGACCCAACCAACCAATCAGATCTACCCAAGTGAGAGTTCAATGACCTCATCATGGCAGCCTTTTCTTTAGAACTTCCATTTATTAGTTGTTTATTGGATTGTTCTATCCAGTTGTCTATTTCTGTCACCATGGTAATGTCTAGATTCTCATATAGCTGGTTTAGAAGACGGGCCATGTAACGTGCTATATTAGCTTCTCCGTGTACTGGGGATTGTGTGTTGGCAGAGACCATCATTGTCGGTCCCAGTGGAACTAGAATAATAAAGAATACTCTAAATATTTTATTTATTACAGCTAGTCAAACAGTATGACATACTTATGGTATCCACATCTCAAACAAGGCATTAACATGCAACATGTCACCACCTGCCATTTATTACAGGCACCAAACAAATTTGTGGTGGAGACATAATAATAGTAAAGTCAGACATTCCAAATTCAGAAATTTCACCCAAAAGCATTGATTAATGGAAAACCTTATTTCCTAAATTGAAAGTTGGTGACATTTTATGTACATTAGATTTCATGTAGTGAACAACCCATCTATCCCCACAAAAAATAACAAGAAGATTCCATCATAATTGCCACACATTCACTAGGGGCACATTTCAATTGTATTCTTAAATCTTTGGATTCATAAAATTTCTTGTTCTCTAACAGTAACAGCATAAGACTATGGTTGAATTGTTAAAAATGGACTAAGGATGTTCAGAATAGAATGATCAGGAAACCCCATAATAACTGTAGTTAAAAGAAGCTTACCATTTTTCCACATCAAAGTCAACCCTATCTGATGATCCATTCTAGCTCCACTTCCTCCATTGTGAAAAATTGTGCATAGATTTTCAGGCACTCCCTTTACTGAAGAGTGTATGTGTGACTTAGCGATGACGCTGTATTGCTTGGAGAGGAACTGATGGAGAACAAAGAGGGAAAGGGGAGGATTTTCAGGACTGGCACTGATGACAACATCCAATAAACCATCTCCCTGAAACACAAACTACATATTAACAACTTTGTAGGTAATAGGTAAAATGGGATGGAGAGGAGGAGCAGACAATTTCTACTAGAAAATTCAAAAAATCTGGAAGATTTATTTATTCAAGAGAAAGTTAACTGTTGAATTGTTGAATGAATAGGCCCATGGTATGGTAATATATCTCAGGTATTCTAGAATATTTTTGAACCGATGCGTTTTAAAGATATAAGCTCTAATAAAAAATAAAAAATATAAAAATGGTACCGTGGGTACTGGGCTCACATGGTATTGCTCAAAAGTGAATGATGGCTAAAATGACAGAAAATAAAATAAAAAAATGGATATAATTTTTTGCCAATTTTTTGTAACAAAATTATTTTATACAACAACTCTTTTTGGCGTTTCACAATGCAGGACACCTGAAATTATTTGTAAAGCTAGGAAATGGGCCAAAAGTGAATTTCGCGAGACAAAAATGGCGACCATTTCGAAAATAGGCGAGCTTTTGAACCAGAAGTCATAAGGGAGTTTTTTGTATTGATGTTGAACAAAAATAACTCAAAACCGGAATCCTATCAACAGAGGTTTTAAGGCAAATGGTCCAAAAGAGGATTTCGCGAGACAGATTGACAAATCAATGTTAACTAAAATGGCTGAAAATAAAAAAAGGGATATAGTTTTTTGCCAATTTTTGCAACAAAATTATTTCATACAACTTCTCTTTACAGTGACATGGCTTTTTACAATGCAGGACACCTGGAATTATTTGCGAAGCTAGGAAATGGGCCAAAAGTGAATTTCGCGAGACAAAAATGGCGACCATTTTGAAAATAGGTGAGCTTTTGAACCAGGAGTCATAGGGGAGTTTTTTGTATTGATGTTGAGCAAAAATAACTTAAAACTGGAATCCTATCAACAAAGGTTTTAAGGCAATGGTCCAAAAGAGGATTTCGCGAGACAGATTGACAAATCAATGTTAACTAAAATGGCTGAAAATAAAATAAAAAAAGGGATATAGTTTTTTGCCAATTTTTGCAACAAAATTATTTCATACAACTACTCTTTACAGTGACATGGCTTTTTACAATGCAGGACACCTGGAATTATTTGCGAAGCTAGGAAATGGGCCAAAAGTGAATTTCACAAGACAAAAATGGCGACCATTTTGAAAGTAGGCGAGCTTTTGAACCAGGAGTCATAGGGGAGTTTTTTGTATTGATGTTGAACAAAAATAACTTAAAACGAGAATCCTATCGACAGAGGTTTTAAGGCAAATGGTCCAAAAGTAGATTTCGCGAGACAGATGGACAAATCAATGTTAACTAAAATGGCTGAAAAAATAGGACCCAAGGTCCTGTGCTCACACAGTTTGGAACCTTCAGAGGAATGTATATCCTGACTTTCAAACAAAAATAATGATTTGGATTTCTAGTTTCGAACTTTGAGAAACTTAGATAGCACAGTTGTGTGACCTTGTTTGATGACCTTTGACCTTGGACATTTTACTTAATCAGAGCTCAGTAAGGTCTTTTGTGATTTAAGCTGACCAAAGTTTACATCCAAAAATCAACTTTTTTGACCTTTCAAAGGTCACTGAAGGTCAAGTAAAGGTTACTGAAGGTCAAGAAAAGGTCAAATCCTAAAACTAATGTCAGATTTGAACTCCTGGTAACTTGTAGATGATTTTCAAAATAGATTGGTCAAATTGAAGCAAGTTGAAAAATAACTTATTTTTACTGTTTTTTTCTTACTTTTTGTCAAATTTTATGGAGTAAACACCAAAAACTGTAATTCCTAGAGCTTTGAATTCTTCAGAGGACATAAGTTGCATATACAGCAACTACTACAAGTTATTTGAAAGTTCTACTTCAACAAAGTGTCTAGTATTTACAGAAAATTTGACTTTTTGACGTCAAAATCAGCAATTTCTCGGGAAATGGCGATGATAGGTCAAATAGGCATTATGGATATGCATAAAATGACTGTGGATATGACTCAATCCGAATAGCAGTTTTAATTTGTGCAGCCAATGTTGACGGACGGACGGACCAACGGACGGACGTCTTGTTTATATGCTGTTCATGTCATCATCATTCAGTCCAGCTTGAAAATCTATTTGTAGTTGCTGTTGTTTCCTTCTTACTTCTTCTGTCTTCTTAGTTTCTTGTTCTTTGTTTCTGTTGTTGTTACTTTCTTGTCTTCTTTAGTTTCTTCTTTCTTGGTCTTCTTTCTCCCTATTACTTTTCCTCTTTGTCTCGTTTGGTGTCGGGTCTGCAGACTTGTGACTACACGTCGGTGGGTTAAAGCTTTTTCTACCGGTAACACTCCCCTTCCCCTTTGTCTTTATCGATGTTTGTTTTTTGTTGATGTTTTTCTTCTATAGTTTACCCTCATTTCGGAGACTGATATCTAGATTCTGTTTGTTCTTGTTGTTTTTCCTTATTTCCTTATTTGTCTTAGAATTCTGACCATATCTTTAATATTTGACTTTTTGGCTTTTTGTATTTTATCTGTATCCATTTATTTTTAGTAATTGTCTTTTTGATATATGCTGACAGTGTTTCTTGCTTATATCCTTGCGATATTAATTTTTTCCCCAAGGACTTGATTCTTTTGGATTTATCAACGGATTGACCGACGGACGGAGGCCTGGTTGATCCCATAGGCTCACTGTGTGAGCCAATAAAAAAGACGGATATAGTTTTTTGCTGATTTTTAAAAAAAAAATTATTTCATACAACTACTCTCCACATTGACATGGATTTTTACAATGCAGGACATCTGAAATTATTTGTAAAGCTGGAAATTGAGTCAAAAGTAAATTTCGCGAGACAAAAATGGCGGCCATTTTGAAAATAGGCGAGCTTTTGAACCAGGAGTCATGGAGTTTTCTGTATTGATTTTGAACATAAATAACTTAAATCGGGAATCTTATTGACAGAGGTTTAAAGGCAAATGGTCCAAAAGTAGATTTCATGAGACAGATGGACAAATCAATGTTAATTAAAATGGCTGAAAAAAAACAGATATAATTTTTTGCTGATTTTTGTAACAAAATTATTTCATACAACTACTCTTCACATTGACATGGATTTTTACAATGCAGGACACCTAAAATTATTTGTAAAATAAAAAAATGGCGACCATTTTGAAAATAGGCGAGCTTTTGAACCAGGAGTCATAGGGGAGTTTTCTGTATTGATGTTGAACAAAAATAACTTAAAATGGGAATCCTATCGACAGATGTTTTAAACGTGTAAGTTAGAAGTAACATCTCTTATCTTGCCTCGTAGATATATTACTCCCCCTCTCCATCCCCTCCCTCTCCCCACCCCACTTTAATTAATTTGATTATTTTTCATATACACTGTAAAGTATGGAAGCTTATTTAAATTCAAAAGCAATCTTGAAAATTCCTTCCTGAGCAGAGTCCCTTAGGCATCAGCATATTATATAATTTCAATTTGATCCAAATCTTTCAAGTGGTATTTGAGTGACTTTTTCGAAAAATGGTGGCCATTTTGAATTGAATGGCCCTATTGAAAATGCCTAGTTGAACAGACATTTGCGTAAAATTTGGACCAAATTACTAGCTGCCATTTTGAAATTTTTTTCTTGAGTAGAACTCCATGTCTCTAAGGCACTTATTAGCATTAGCCTATACAATTTGAACTTAATCTGTCAAATGTTAATATGAATAAAAATGGTGAATTAGGCAACCATATTGAGAATTCCTTCTCGATTGAAGATCCTTTGTTCATAAGACATTAGTCTATAAAATCTGAACCACCTCGATGGTTCAGTATTTTAAACCTGCACATCGCTCCAAAACGCAATATGTTGACATATTGTTTTTACATTTTCAAGCTCTAATATAAAGTTTATGTAAATAAAAATTGTTTTTTTCTGCGTAATATCAAAGAACAATCATTTAGTTATAAAAATAAAAAGGCGAATGCGGGATTCGAACCCGGGCCTCCCGCATGCTAAGCGCGGATCCTACCGCTACACCACCGTATTATCATGAATGGTTGAAGTAATTAAACGCAACTTATTTTGAATGCTATGATTAGGAAGTGACGTCACGTTCTTCATTTAGAAACCTTTCCAAAATCATATCGCCGGCTCCGATCGAAGCAAATTCAATGAAAAATCTTTGAAATGACACATTTATCGTAAGTATTTCTACACAAGATTTGCCCCATTTGTTCATCATTCTATAATCTTTCATTAGGCTCAAAATGATAAAGTTCACCCCCGAAACAACCCAAGATTGCGTTTCGGAGCGTAGTCCAGCTTTAACTAAAGCCTGAACGAACAGATGGACAGGCTGCTTCTATATATCCCTCTTAAAATGTGTTTGACGGGATAATAGAATTGTGGTTGTTGTACTCTTCCACCCCTGATGGTAGGAGCTACATCCACTGGTGTAAATTAACAAGTATCCACACCCCAAAACAGACATGAGCACTGGGCAATAATCAATACTCACCAAATTGTTAGGTAAGCTTGTTGTGGTTCCTGTAACAGAGCTACTGCTTGAGGATACTGCTGATTTCTGCTGAGTGAGTTTCTCCACTTCAGCTTTTAAGTTGTCGAGTCTCTGAAGAATGGCCTCCTGGCGCTCCTCTAAGGAAACAAGTGGATCCCCCATGTTCATCTGTAAAGGTATCAAAAACAAATGAATATTACTCTTGTTTTATTTTGGGAAAATATCTGTTTCAGTACACTTTGCATCTACTACTCTGCTATCTCAGGAAGCTATAGATAAAAAGGGACACTGATAAATCAGAATCTATGTTTTTAATAACAATGTATTCAAGTTAACCATTTGCTCTGTAGATGGACGAATAGATGGCAGCATGTGTGTTGGTAGGGCTAGATATAACCTTAAAATTGTGATCCAAACATGAGAAACAAACCATCTTCATCTTTGGCAAATCAGAATGCATGTTTTTAATAACGATGTATTTCAGTTAACCATTTACTCTATATATGAATGAATAGATGGCAGCATGTGTGTTGGTAGGGCTAGATGTATCCTTAAACTTGTGATCCAAAAAAGAGAAACAACCAATCATTCTTCATCTTTTGGTAAAGTCTAGTTGTTTCCCTTCTTTTAGTTGAGTTTGACATTTATTGTTCAGTTTATAAATATTTAACTTCCATTTCAGAAGTATTTAGAAAGATTATTTTTCTATCATAAAAACCAACAATCAACTAACGGTTTAATTAGGGGAGCAGATGCAGCCGATTTTGACACTCTGTGCAAATGGAAGGATTTCTCACCCAACCATGACCAAATTTGAATGAATGACATATCATTGCAAAGAGGAGGGAGGTGGCGTCATGGTAAATTAAATGAAATTGATGTTGTCATCACTAGTTTTGTGATTTTACGAGATAACTGCTAGTTGCGTTTTTTTAGATGAGTTATTTTCTTCTGTTCCCGATATGAGGGATCTTTAGTTCACTAAATAAACTGATCATTTGCAAATCCTGAGAATCCAAAAGTGTATACTGTACGAAACAGATTCAGGCAAAAATCCCCATTCCTGGGCACAGGTTAATGAAATTCCCCACCTCAGGATGACAATCTTCATCAATTTCCTCACCCTCCCCACGTGGGGGTCTCAAGCAAACTTTTGAATGGTGCATTAGATGCATAAGTGATATGAAAATTGAACCATTAAAACAGATGAATATTAAGTTAAAGGGAACTTTCTACTCTACCCGCCATACTATCTGACCCGAATGAGCTACCTGGTGATGAAACTGGTAGCTACCTACTCGCATCTGAGTCACTCAAAATATAGCCCTATGCCCATGAATAGGAGGACTTCCCACAGTGCCTTATAGATAACATGTATGAATGTTTCAATTTTTACACATACTGTTTCAATATGGTCCTTTGATTTCTTATTTTTAGATTCAAAGTACTCAATGGAATTATATTATGAATTTGACTTTTTTACATTCCTTCCCATGTCTAGTCCAACAACATTAGACCTAACCAGCGGCGTAACCAGGATTTTGATAGCAGGTACGAGAGGCCCAAGGCCGGGCAAAACAATAAATGTGCCCAACATATTGCTCTAAATGATACAATTTAAAATAATCTTCTTAGAAAAAGAAAAAAATGAAAAAAACTGAATCGAAAATCGATGTATTTTCCTTTTTACTAGGAGCCATTATTGTTCCAGACAATTTTTTTTAATTTCAAAGATTGTATCATTTAGAGCAATATATTGACACATTTTCTGAAAAAATCAAAAGATTCTGTTCATTTGACCTTTCCTGAGCACCTACTCTTAGCTATTTTTCAGTCACATTTTCAGAGGGCTAAAAAGGTTATTTCTTCATGTTTATGGTCATTCTGACCATTTCCCTTGTGTTCCCAGTCATGTAAATGATATGTGGAACTAGTTAAACTGACTGAAGGTCCTAACAGTTTTTCAATAAATATCTACCCTTCGTCTTCACTCTTTCAAACTAAAATAAACCTGTGAACTCACCGCGCCAATCAGTGTTCGTCGGCCAGATTTGACCGACGTTCTATATATGGTCATTCCTTCTGACATCATCGTTGAGCCCGGAATTGACCAATGACACACGCATATTTAATTAGAACGCATTTGGCGTATGTTTCTTCAAGCTAACTGATTGACGGAAGAAAGGTCAGCGCGTAGGTGAAAAGTGATTTTTTACCCAAACTGTCACAGGTGCCCGTGTGTGGGGGCGGGGCTGCTAAACTGTAATATGGTCTCTACTAGGCAGAGTGTAGTTTAACTAGACTCTGCACGCAGGGTAATAAATATCACATGTCATACCTCAAACGATGCGTACTGTTGTTAGCTTCAACTCCAATCACAAAAGTCAAACGTCCAAGAAAGCGTCTGTTGATAAAAGCATAAAATGACCGAGCATATATTTAATGGAGCGCTTCGGCTATCTCCATTGTTCAAATGATTATTCCCGAAGTCAAATGCCTTTTCTGAGAATGTGACGCCACTCCGGATGACGTCATATCAGAGATTACCAAGAAGTCAAATGACGTTTCTGTCATGTAATTGTCTGATTGTATTGTTGGGCTGGCAAGCCATAATTATTTTGTATTACGTCATTCTGGACGATGATCGAGGCTTACGCCATATTGGAATAAACTGGACAAAGTCAGCCAATATATCTCTTAGGGGCGGGGTCAAAATATCAATGTTCATATGGAGACGAAAGTAATTTCGTTTGGACAACAACCCCCCCCACCCCCCTCTAGACGAAAGCTTAGGTCACTTCAAAAAAACATTGGCATAATCGTATCCTATTTGCCGGGTTATTATTACGGTGAATTAACACACGTTCGCAATTTAACTGCATTGAACTCTTCAAAACTGCAAAAGGAGGAGGGAAAAGTACGGAATTTATTTGAAAAATGATCGAATTATCGTTTTTATCTACCGATATTTTGGACCTATCACACAAAAAAGCTCACGAACTATTGAAAACAAGGCTTTTTATCAGAACATAGCGCCAGAAAAAGTGGGTAAGTCCAATTATTTTTTGTATATCAGATCCGAATTATCGATGTTTTTTTGTTCAACGAAAGTGCCCAAAAACCCCCTCCCCCCTCGCGAAAGTACTTTCGTCTCCATATGAACATCGATATTTTGACCCCGCCCCTTAGTGTTATTCGAAATATAACGTAACAGAACAGTTTCTTGAAACTCCCGTTATCTTAACGCTATGAAAATTTGAAATAAATGTCCCGGGAAAAGTCGAACTACAGCGTCAATAATGGATATCATGCAACCATTCAACCTAATACATAAAGAAGAGATTATAGGGTAAATATTGATCAATCAATGTCTGATGTATTTTTGAGTGGTCATTTTTTTGATGTAGCATTTTTGGTTTATGTCTTATCTTCCCATTAAGGTAACTTATAACTTAATCAAAAATCCAAGTTGGCCGAAACCAGGAAGCACATGGCATTTGAGTATAATCTGACCATCAAAATTAACTGTCTTTTGGTTGGATTTTCTCTCAATTTTTTAGTTCCGCTTATCATTTATATAACCAGGCTCACTTTGGTAATGCAAATAGAAACAGTAAACATTTTGGGATGGGAATTTGAGTCCTCTGAAAATGTGACAGAAAAAGTGACAAAAAGAGAAGCACGGCAAAGGTCCCTGAACATTTTTTTTTCTTATTTCTCTGAAACATCCCTTTAATATAGCCCAAAATGGAAGGAGCTTTAGAATTTTGAAATCTCTCATACAAATTAAAAAAAATAGAAAAAAACAATTTGAGAAGTGTATTTTTTTCCTTATTTTGATCCCAATTTTTTTATCGGGAAATTTTTCAAATTTCCGTTGCTCCTTCGTTTTTGATATATGTTTGAAGTATATTTTCTGAAATGTTCAAATATTTTGAATCAGCGATTTTTCACGGGCTACTCCTAGAAAAAAATCTTCTCAAATTCTTTTAACGGCACTTTTTTCTCAAACTAAAGTTTTTTGTTGTTCTTTGACATAGATCCCGGCCAGATTCTTTTGTAGTAGAATCAGTAGCTCAATAATATTTCCTCAAGATGAGACACCTCAGAAAATTTCAAATTTTAAAATGACGATTCTGGAGCCATTTCTGAAAAATATGAGACAAATCATACCTCATTCGAAGGGTCTTGTTATTCTTTACCTTTTTTTATCACCAATGGCCGTTATTGAAGCAATACTGCGTTGATAAGAGGCCAAAACAGTGATATTTTATCGCCGGACTCTTGTCTGTCCAAATCTGAATGTTGCTCCCGTGGTTCAAGAAATGTGACGTCATCATTACAATGATATTTGGACACACAAGAGTCCGGATTTCGTGAAAAATATTCGCCGTATTGAAAGTCAAATAACTGCACCCATAGGTTATTTACTCGAACCAAACAAGTAGAAATAGAAAGATGAAGATCTCAGCTATAAAATAAGTGCAAAATCTGTCACAGGGAAACAGGTACCATTTTGTATAAGGAACGTTTTGAAAGGTGGTCACTTTTTTTTCGAAATTTTCCAATTTAGTGTCGTATCTTCTGTATTATTCTTTGAGCCTATGATCCTACTACAAAACGATCTGGCCAATATCTGTGTTCTTTGATGTCTTTGTAATGATTACAGTGCACAAGCATATGTGAAATAAAAAAACGACTTCTCAGGAAGAGTTTGAAAATTTCAAGATTGTGAAATTTTCAATTTTTTCTGAAAATCGATTAAAGGTTCAATAAAGAACATAGAAGAAATTTGGGAATCATTTTACCTTTCCCGAGCTATTAGTGCAACGTTTGGCCTAATGTCTCCTTCGCCATACCTATTTTCTTAAAATGTATGCACTTGTCGACGAATACCACCATTCAGACTTGCAAATAGACTTCTAAATAAGCAATTGAAAGGTTGGACGTCCCGCAATTTGTTTTTTGAAACATTTCTAAATCTCCGCCATTTAAAATTCTTGCTGCAGCTGAGATAGGTAAGACCGCATGTTACAGTATAACCGCGGTTGTCTGATATAACTGTATGCATGTACACGAAATGACCGCCGTTGACGGTCTATTACCGGCGACTCTTGCAGTTAGCCTGGTCCACTGACGAAGAAAAATCAAAAAAAATCGAAGACTAAAACACCTCAAATCTGCCCATATCAAGGTCTTCTTGACACACGCTAGGTACATAAGAAACAGAATGTTGGATAGAACCTTAGGTGAAAACGGGGCTGGAATCCAATGACAATATCACCGGGAAATCATCAGGTACGTGAGGATTTTTTCTGTTGATGTCGGGAGAAGATTCCCGGGGATTTAGGATGCCAGTGATTGTGAATATCGGCAGAAATTAGGTACGTTCGGGGGTTTTCTTTGTAGCTAATGAAAATAGATGTTAGCCTTGATGAAATATCCAAAATTTGATATATTTTGACACCGGGACCATGATCGTTGGATTCGTCTCTGCACTATTTATTCAGCCTTTAAGTTAACAGTCACCTTAATCCTTTGAGCCTACTACCAATGGGGCTGTATCTGGCTCCGGATCTGTGGTTAGAATTTTATGAAGTACCAACCTCTTTTCCACTTGTGTCTGCTTCTTTTTCAGTTTTATAATAACTAGGTAACTTGTACATGCATTGAGACACTGGAAGGGTGTCATTTGGGGCGTAATAAGGCTTCAATTTATACATCGGAGAAGGACTATTGCGAGCCATGATGAACACGTTTGTCAAGAAGTTTGTCCAAGCACTTTATGTCGTCGCCAAAAAGTTAAGAAATCGGCTCTATGAAAACCTTTTAATATATTTAAACCAAACAATTTTAGACTTTTAAATCTTAAAACTTTACATCTATAATGCTCTTTTAAAAGGAAATTGTCTAATATTCTAGAGACTTGAAATATATTAAACGTATTACGTCGCCACAAAGTTAAAAATTATTAAACTTCTCAGTTGACCTAGTTTTAGTACTATACTTTTGAACTAATCTTCAAATCTCAAATTCACAGTGATGGCATTTTTCCCTATACATAAATGTATTCATAGGCACAAGATAGTAAGGCGGTAGTGGCGAGAGCAATTGATGCATTCATATGCCCAGTTTATGGGTATTTAGCAATAGTAGCATTAGCGAAATATTGAAGGCAAAGTGCTTGCAATAGTGCATAGTCACGTGACTTATTTTACGAAAATGGCGGCCACCAAAAAATATTCAATTTTGGCCAAATTACCAACTTAAAAACATCATTCAGAACAAACTGGTTTGCTTGCATGTTAATGGAATATTAGGGCACCCGTAGGCACACTTGGAAGCATTGAAGATGGCATCGAGGTCTTCCCGATCACGGGGTCGCGCGCCAAAATCTCCTTTGTCAGATCAAATGAGTTCTGCAAAACCATCCGACTCAGCAAGTAACGTTAGCTCACGCTCAAGTACTCCAGTAAGCAGTATGTCAAGTACACCAACTTCCCAAAGACAAACCAGACCCAAGAGTAGGCGTGGAGGACGTCAAGCAGCAGAAAAATCGAAGACATTTATTCGAATGGTTTTAGATGATGGTGATGAAAAAGACATCGACCAGCTGATGAGTGATTCCAGTCCAGAATCAGATATTGAAAGTGATGATTCCCTTGGTGCACCACCCTCGGATATAATGCAAAGTCTTACATCTGAAACTCCAGAAAAAGATGAAGATACCTTTTCTGAATATTCTGAAAGTGTTGCCAGTGAACTCAGTAGGGTTTCTTCCTCAAGTAGACCATATCCTCATAGACCAAAGACTCCTGATATACCCGATGATATAGAAATACCACCATTGGTTTTACCTAGTAGTTCAAATGACTTGCTGATAGATTGTGAAAATGTAATGAAAACAGTAGGAATATATGAAGTACTTCGTCGCTTTAGAATTATCCTCAGATTATCCCCTTTTAGAATAGAAGACTTTATTGCTGCACTACTGTGTAATGAACAATGTAATTTATTAGCAGAGGTTCATATGGCATTGATAAAATCCCTCTTTCGTGAAGAAGATGGCAATAACACAACATTTGGTCCTCATGATTTGAAAGATAGTATAAATATTGCACTGTTCTTTATGGATAGTATGACATGGCCAGAAGTAGTCCGATTATATTTAGCATGCGATAAAAACACTGAATTTACTTGGGCCTTGCCATCCCTTGAACATTCAAACTTTCCCTTTGTGGATTTAAAGATGAAATTAGATGTTCTACAATGCTTAACTGATTTGTTTCTGGGAACTAATGCCGTAAGAGAGGAATTGATGAATGAGGGAACTATAACATATGACGACCATTGCAGAAATTGTCACAAGTAAGTAAGAGTACCAAAAATATTCTCCAAATCATAAAATTTTGAAAACCAAAATGAGGGTGTGTGTTGTTATTGAGTAATATTATTACATAAATGCATTTGACTTGATTATCTGTGAATGAATTTGCTGAAGTTGCACTCCAATCAAAGTTTTCATACTATTCACCTCAACGAGTTCTGGATTAATCATACCGCCACTAGCCGAAACCACAAAATTTCAGAGGTATGCAGATTATTCATCATACTTTCAGAATATTTTTGTTAATTCTGAGAGGAATTCTGTGGAAATATAAAATTTAAGATCTTGCAAATCATGGAGGACCAAAATTCTGTCAAAATTTCACACTTGCGGACCTGTTATGCTGTGAAATGTGTATCTTTTTAAGCTAATGTTTCAGACTTGGGGAACTGTTATACTGTTAAACGCATATATTATTGTGCCAATGTTTCACACTTGGTTAACTGTTATATTGAGAAACATTTTGTTCTGGTATGTTGTGGTTTTGTTGTGTAAATATATTGTGCCAATGTTTCAGAATTTGGGACTGTAATCCCAATGAACGAAGTTGGGTAAGGATATAGTGAAGCCCTCCGTCTACCAGTCTGATCATCTATATGTCCATCTGGAAGATAACTGAAAGTATATTGGAGACAGATTTTTTCCAAATTTGTTGAAAAGATGTATTTTTCAGACTTGGGGATTGGATATGCTGTCACATACATGTATATGAAACATTACATTGTGCCAATTTCTCAGACTTGGGCAACTCAGTTCTGCTGTGAAACATGTATTTCATTGTGCCAATATTTTAGACTTGGGGATCTGCTTTGCTGTGAAACCTGTTCTGCTACATATCATCTGCAATGTGTAGAACCCCCACTAGAGGAAGTACCCGAAGAAGACTGGGTCTGCTCTGTATGCAAAGCACATAAGGTAAGTATATGAAATAAAACACATTTGGGTTCGAAAATCTCACCTTTTCACAGCTTTTGGCCATCAGATCACAACAAAACAGCATTTTGCTTACAATTTTTTGCATCGAAAGAAGTTCATTTTTTCATTTCTTCTCACTAAAGAGTTTTGAAGAGCTTTTCAAAAACCAGATTGACCTTGATGATCAACTTACTCTTACTCATAGGTTCTGAAGTAATGAAATACATGTAGTCATTCTGTTCTGAATCATTCCAAAATTGTTCGGTTCTGAAGCAAAATGTTTTGAACCGAACCATTACGATAAATGGAAAATATCATCCATCCTTTGTCTGCTAAATATTACAGTCAACACTGGTTGAGGTTAGTAGATGACAAGAAATACAGAAAACTCCCTTATGACTCCTGGGTCAAAAGCTTGCCTAATTTCAAAATGGTTGCCATTTTTGTCTTGCGAAATTCACTTTTGGCCAATTTCCTAGCTTTACAAATAATTCCGGGTGTCCTGCATTGTAAAAAGCCATGTCACTCTAAAGTTGTATGGAATAATTTCAGGAGAGTAAAGTAAAGGATTAAGAGACAATAAAATAATCTCCAAATCTGAACACCAGTTTTTTTTTATTTTATATTTTTGGAAAGTTCAATATTTAAGTTAATTTTAGAAAAATAAAAATTAGGTCACCAACTTTGTTTTTGTCTAATATGTTGATTATATTATATACAAACATGCAACTAGTCAAATCATTGCTCCTTTGCCATAGCATAGAGCCATCTATTGCTTGTAAACAATCACCTGTAATGGAATTCCAACAGAAAATGATGTCTCAGACACTAAATAAGGTGATTTAGTAATGTTACATTTTATTATCCCATCGAACGAAGTTTGGAGGGATATAGGGAACGCGTCCGTCCGTCCGTCCGTCCGTCCGTACATACGTCCGTCCGTCCGTCCGGGCAATAACTCAAATACCATTGGCCCGGTTTTGTTCATATTTTGTACACATATACCCTATGGGGATAGAAGTTCTGCTCGAAAGCCGATTTTCAAAATGGCCGCTCATTTCAAAATGGCGGCCATTTTAGTGCCGATTTTACAGTAATTTAGGTGTAATATGTAAAACTAATAGCAATATGTTTTAAATGTAAAAAAATTATAAAGGACATTAATAATGCTACAAATGTAGATATTAAAGAAGCACATGGCAGCCATCTTGAAAAATGACGGCCTTTACTTGTCATTTTACGATTTTTGCTATAACTCAAAAAATAGTGGAGCGATTTTGTTCATATTTGGTATGTGAATACTATAAGCATTGCACACTGTCTAAAAACACTTTTGGTAGAAGGCGGCCATTTTAACATATTTTACTATAACTCGAAAAGAAGTGGAGCGATTTTGTTCATATTTGGTTTGTGAATACTATAAGCATGGCACACTGTCCTATGACACTTTTGATAGAAGGTGGCCATTTTGAAAATAATTTTGAAAAATGGCCGCCATTTTAACGTATTTTACTATAACTCGAAAACTAGTGGAGTGATTTTGTTCATATTTGGTATGTGAATACTATAAGCATGGCACACTGTCTATTTCTAATGACACTTTTGGTAGACGGTGGCCATTTTGAAAAATGGCCGCCATTTTAACGTATTTTACTATAACTCGAAAAGTAGTGGAGCGATTTTGTTCATATTTGATATGTGAATACTTTAGCATGGCATATTGTCTAATAAAACTTTGGGGAGTAGTCGGCCATTTTGAAAAATGGCCACCATTTTTATGTGTGTAATTTTACAAGTACGTGTGCGATTTTTCAAAAATTTTAGAGGTGGCTACTTAAAAGCATATTATTTCTTCTGATGACAACTTGGCTAGTGAGCAACCATTTTGAAAATGGTGGCCTTTCTGGTGTGATGTTTTATGATATTTGCTATTCGTTTGTAAAAATGCCAGCCATTTCTGTTCGATGGGATTCGCTACGCTTTGGCGTTGCCGTTGTCCTGGTTTAAGATTGTCCAATAAAATAGCCTTGTTTCATGAATGGTTCTTTGTCAAAAATGTTTAACTGTTCAAAGACAAATTTCATTTAAGTAATACTAAAATTACTTTTTGTTTTCTAGCTGAAAGGTGTGACTGACTGCATATCAATAGTAGAGAAAAGTGGCTTGCTGTGTAGACAGGAACCTGTTGGCTATGACAGACATGGCAGAAAATACTGGTTCCTCTGCAGGAGGATCATTGTGTAAGTTATTACACCCTAATAAGCATGGGTTCTTATTTGATTATAAAATTATACTTGATGTGACAGAGCTCTAGCCTGGATTGGGAGGGGTCATAGATTCTATCCTCATTGGGTGGACTGTCTCTCACATCAGTCCTTAAACACAGGACTTCATTGCCCATTTTCCTTAAACTAATATCCTCTTTAGCTTCTTTAAATTTAAATTCTCATTTTCACAATTCAGACCAAAATTGGTCAGAATATGCCAATTTTTCATGATTTTTCTCATTTTCAAGTGGGTGCAAATGGATTTTCAGGTGGGTGCAAGCCTATTTTCAAAATCTCAGGTGGGTGCTGCGCCCATTTGCTTTAATTTGGGAGATCACTGATTCTGGCTATGCCACTGCCTAATGTTATGATATAATGTTTTCTCACCAAAGCTTTAGAATCTTTTACATCTATGCCTTTAAGTTATTGAGTTATGTTGCAGCGAGGGTGAGAATGAGGTTTGGTACTACACAGCCAAGGCTCAGTTTGAAGAGCTCCTGGAGACATTGGACCATAAAGTATGGGAGAAAGATCTTGTGGCGGCCTTCCATGAGATCAGAAGTGATATTGATACCCATATGGAGATAACTGAGGAGTTAACTGCCTCTGCTAGAGGACACAGGAGGTCTGCATTGATGGAGTCTATTGGTGAGCAAAGTTTTAGAGGAAATAATTACTGTGTATCGCAAGTGAAACATTTATAACAATACATAGGCCTTATTCTAGCTCCAAATTTTTCAATACATCTGGACAGTGTCCCTTTCTAGCTTATTTATTTTACTTCCTGATTTGACTTTTGCAACATAGCATCAGATAGAAAATTGCAAATCTTTCATTCCAAGGGTAAATTGGGCAAATTGACATTGATTGGAAGTAATTATAATGAAACTGATAAAAAGTAAAACAAACATATTTACAAATTTTGGGGGAATCCTTAGTCGCTCTCCAAGCCTGAGATACACAAGTATATACATATACAAAATATTAACATATTGTGTTCTGACTTTATAACAGAGAGCCTTGAGAAACGCCAGAAGGAGAGGGCTGAGAGAAAGGCAAGGGAGGAAGAAGAGAGGAAAGAAGAAGAAGCAAAACTAAAAGAGAAGATGAAAGAAGAGGATAAAGAGGAGCCCAATGATTCAATGAAAGAGCAGAATGGAAGTGAAGCAAATGAAGTGAAAACTGAGATTTCTGTAAGTCTGTTTATCATGTACATTTAATAATGTTACCTTCCAAATGCCTTTGGATTCAATTGCAACCTAAGTGGTTGAATTTTATTTTACTCACCTCTTCCATCTCATATTTATTAACCTATTACATATACATTGTGATAGATCTTTCCAGCCATCCCTGCCACCCCTTTTCTTCACATAGGATAAAACATATTGTTTGTTCTACATCATACATTTTACCTTGTTTTTGGTATTTTTTTTTTAATTTCTCAGACAATAGAACACAATCACAAATTATACCTGAGGTGGCAAAGCTCTAGCCTTAATAGGGAGGGGTCATGGATTCTATCCCTACTGGATGGACTGACTCTTTCACATCAAAAAGGAGCCTGAAATGGTTTGTCCGTAACAAAGGGTAGGTATGTCAATGCCTTGTTAATAATTGCAAGAGGGCAGGATTTATACTATTTGTTAAAAATGTGATTGTAGGAAATAGACAAAGAAAGAACCGTATCAACTACAACCACCACATCAACACAGTCCATCACCACAACAACTGAGATAGATGGTTTAAAGAAGGAGGTGTCCTTAATGGCAACAACCACAACTTCTGTTACCATAGCAACCAACACTACAGTTACTGCTACTGTTGTAGAAAAAGATGCAAACAATGCTAGAGCTGACAACAATGCAATCCCAGCTGGTGAGTTAAATCTTTGGACACACAATGCATGTTCAAATATTGATATTCTTTCACAGTAAGCTGAACATAAATAAAACAAGCTTCATTGGTAGCTAATTCGAAATTCACCATGACAATCGAAATGTTTTCACTTTGAAAATGGGTCAAGATAAATTCTCCTCCCATGAGTTTTGTCTCAAAAGCTTGCCTTGTTTCAAAATGACAGCCATTTTACTGTCTGCAGAAACCAGATTTTTAGCTCTTTTTTGGTGGTCATACAAAACAAGTATTCCATCAATTTGCTTGAAATTGTACAGGTGATATGATTTATTGGTTCTCAGTAAGTTTTAGCAAAATATGTTGCAAAGATACAAAATGGCCACCATTTTTTTTTTCAGAAACATAAGATTTCCAGCTCTGGTTTGGTCATAACTCCATAAGTATTGCATCAATAAATGGTACAGGTACCTATAAAAGGTTGACATGATGACTCTGCACCAACTCACTATTTATATTCTGATGATGGTTTCTATTACATTTAAGGATCCCAGGGAGATGGTCAACCAGAAAACAATACTCCTGGTGTTGTTACAGAGGGCAGCACTGAATCAGGTGCAGCTGTACCTAAGGTTGATGAGAGAGGTGATAAAGGGGAGACGAAGATAAATGATAGAACTGTTGTATCTCTTGACTCAATGTTCCCTGGTGTCAAAGCTACTGAATTAAAAACAGGTATTTGCAGTGCACCGAATATTCAGAGTAGAATAAAATATAAAATACTGTACTATTTAGATTGAAATACATTTTATAATCCCAGATATGAGTTTACTAACAAGCATTGCATTGTCTTATAATTACTAAGTAAAAGCTAATGTTCTTTGAAAATATTGATTCCATTTCTTGTGGATTTATATATATTAGCAGGTGATAGTGTGCCAGCATCTACTGCCAATCCCCCTGATGTAGAGACACCAAAAAGCTCAGCTGCAGTAAAGGGGAGTGGGGCTGTCAAGACAGTGGTGTTGGTCAACAAGGATGGCTCAAAGATGACCTTTGCCTTGACCCCAAAGAAACTAGAGGATGGAACTACTAAACTCATGCCCACTAAACAGACTACAGACAGTAGTCATTCCACCTCATCTGAGGGTATTATGTTTTGAAATATATCTAGCTGTTAATGTAATCATCTTGGTGCTTTTGAGTGAAACAGAAGAGTTTGAACTATACAAATTGCATCTACCAAGAATGACTCTCAATGATTTTATAGTTTACATTCTTACAGTCCTTTGAATGTTCAAAATTAATTTCAATTGATCAGCATTTTTGAAAATTTATTCATGATTGGTTTCAGGATCTGATGAGAAGCGCTACACTACCAGGTTCCGCACTGGATCCTTGACGCCTAAACACTTTGTTGACTCTGTTGTCTCGCCAACTGGAAGTGTGAAAATGACAAGCGTAAACTCTTTGAAGAAGTCTTTAACAACAGAGAACAGTGAGGAGTCTGTCCTTGTCATCAACAAAGATGGAAATATAACAAAGGTGATCAAGTCCAAGTCTAACTTACAAACATCATCCTCTACACAGGTGTTTAAGAAGGAGGTCTTCTTCAAGCTAGGTATGTGGCCATATTTTCAACTTATTATTATTGATGTTATTTATATGTAATTGTGTAAATCTCTCATTGGGTGTACACTGTTGGGAGCTGGTATTTTTGTCAGTAAAGTATATTTTAATAATTCTGAATATTATTGAAAGGTTTACCTTTCCAATTTAAATATATTTTATGAAACCTTTTTACCCTATGATTAACCAACTATACAAATTACTCATGCTCATATAAAGCATGTAATCTTGTGTTTTGCTCAGGTATGGAGGCAAATTACAAGACCTGGGAGAATCAGTACTCTGTGGACACCCTCGCCTTAAACAAACCTCAACATAATGAGGAGCGAGATAAGAGACGTCTTCTCTCACATAAATTCAGTCTGACCAATGCTAGTGAGTTCAGGTGGAATGGTACAATACATGGCAACAGATTGATGACCATCTCCACACTGAGGTTGACTGTTACACACCTAGAGAACAGCATTCCACATGCCTTTATGCACCCTAACTGGCCTGAAAGGAGGCGCAGCTGGGTGAATGCTGTACATAACTGTACAACAGCAAGAGACTTTGCCCTGGCCTTAGTCATCTTGGAGAGCTGCATAAAGCCTTGTGTCTTCAACTCTGTTTGGCATGATAACCTAGGTAACTATAACAATATACTATGTGTTTCACTCTGATCAAAGGACACATTTAATTCAAGAATGGTTAATTGTATTATTAGCTCACTTGTCAATAATAGTGGCATGATTTATAACATAACTTCTTTGATACGATTTCTATTTTAATTCATGATCTCATTGCACGGAGTTCTGTATTTTAGGTACAACATGTAAAACTGTAACATTAAATATGTTTTAAATCCAAAGATTTTAAAGGAAACTGACTAGGTTAATAAATAAAAAATATAATTATCAAAAAATGGTGCCCATTACATGTTACTTCATGATTTTTGCTGTATCTGTGGAAGTAATTGAGTGATTTTGATCATATTTGATATGTGAATTCTCCTAGGTATGATATGGGGTCATATGGCACTTTGTAATGGAGTGATTTTGTTGTTTACATATGAATAATCATAATCATGATATACTTTCTTATGCCAATTTGGCTAGTGCTTTTGTACATTAATCATTTTATGTATTTTACTAGAACTCAAAAATAGTGGAGCAACTTTGTTGATATTTTGTATATTACTTCTTATTAGATGTATATGACAACTTCTTTTGGCCAGTGAGTGGCCATCTTGGCGGCCATTTTATTTGTGTTAATTTATGTTTGTTTGCAATAACTGAAAAAGTATTGGATCATTTTTCTTAAAAAATCTTATGTGAATATGAGAACCATTCTACACATTCTTTTGACAATTTGGCTAGTTTTATGTGTGTTATTTTACAGTTTTTGCTATAACTGAAAAAGTAGTGGAGTGATTTTGTTTATATTTTGAAAAAAATTAAAATATATGACCACATTGGCCAAGTACCAATGGTACTATTTTGGTTATAAATATGCATGTAATATTATCAATATCAAATACTACTATATTGCTTTTTTAATTTTTCTGGATAAAGATAAGATGTAATCTAATTTTCTAGGTTATTTGCACCTCCAGAGGATCACAGCTTTGGAACGTGAAGAGATGAAGAAGAAGGATAAGAACAGGGATGACCAGGACATGAATAAGGAGAAGTGGGTAAAATATACACTTGGATTAAAACATCAGGTAAGTAAGAGAGCGGGGATGTTTCTTACCGCATGACTTTTATGAAGAAGTAAAAGATATAAAGCTTGACATGTTGTCTTCAAAAATTGAGACCTTTTATAGTTCTACTTATTGTCCCACTAAACACAGTTGTTTAAGAAGACTATAGAGAGGTCATCTGGCCATGATTCATCCAAATAGGACATTTTTGCCTATAACTTGAAAACTGCTTAACAGATATGGCATTGATGGGTCATTTCAAGCGTGAAATGTTCAAAATGAGGAATAATATGAATAATACTCATTTCTCTAGTTTCAATAAGCACATAGCACAAATGTCTTGTTTCAGGTTTGGAAACAGCGTGGTGAAGAGTATCGAACATTTGGTGTGGGTGGCTGGGTGTGGAGAAGCTCAACCAAGGTCTACAAACACATCCCATATACTCAGGTCGGCCTTCGAGGGGTTGCACAGAAAATCAGGTCACTCCAGAATAAAGATTCAAATGAGTTGAGACCAGATGAAAATATGGAACATGACACAGATGACATTAAGACAAGAAGTGAGCCAATTAACACTAAAGATGCTGACTCAGAGAAAACTATAGAACCTATGGAGGTAGATGAAACTCAGGGAAAAGATATTAGTTCTAAAGATGTGAAGGTTGATGAAGGTGCAACAAATACTGAGTCAATGGAAACAGACAATGATGAGATAGCTACAAGTGGTGGTAATAATGATCTCAGTCAGGTGAGAGATGGTGGTAAGAAGCCAGATTGTGATATTATGATAGTGGATAGTGACAAAGATAAGTCTACCAAGAAAGAGGAAGGAAGGAAATCTCCACGTAAAAGAACATCTGTAAAACCTAAAACTCCTGAAAAGTTTGAGTATGTACCAGCAAGTGACCCTAAACCTGTTGATGTCATTGATGTGTCATCAGCATTGAAAAATCGGACTTATTATCCCAAAGTTACAACTCCTTATTCAAAATTAAACACTCTTTTACCAAGAAGAATACACCAATTTGAGATGGAGGTAAGAAAACAAATTTTATATAAACAAACAATTGAGAAATGCAGAAGAAAACTCAAAGAAATCAAAGAAGCCAAAATACAAGATAATGAACCAAAGAAAGAAAATGGTGTAGACAAAGATGGACCAGTCCCTCAATACTGTTGTTATTCAAGTGACTGTCGGAATGCCACTAACCCGCACAAGCAATGCTATTCACCACTCTGTAGACGACCCTCCCAAAATATCTCTCAAGCAGCATATAAAGCAGATTCTCCTGTTGAGGAAAAGCCAAAAGCTAGGAAGCATTATTTTTGCTACTCCTATACATGCAGAAACAATGAGGATGAGGAGTTTGAATGTTATTCACCTTGTTGTCAAAGAAACCCAGACAGCATCTTTGATGACAATGATGATGGCTGTAATGGTATTGACGTCATGATGGTTGAGCCTAAAACACAAGAAGAGATTGAGAAAGAATGTGAAAATATGCAAATTGATAAAACTGAAATGGAAGATCTCAATAGCTTGATACCTAATGGAATCACAGAAGAAAGTGAACCAGTGAAAGTAGAACCGAAGAAACAACTTGAACTTGAAGTGAAACCTACCCCTGTTAAGGCAATATTACAGAAACGTGCTGCTGCAAGGAAAGCTATTGAGGAGTTTACCGAGCTCTCAGACTCGGATGAAGAACCAGTTGACTCTGGAGCATGTGATGACACCAAGAAAGATGAAGACTACAACCCATACAATGATGGCAACCCAACAATCACCAACCATAACCATGAGGAAGATGATGATGTTGATATAGAAGGAGATGAAGAGTCACCTAAAAAAAGCTTCAAGCCTCCAGAAAAATTCCAGAGTGCTTTCCTAGACTTTGTAAAAACAGATAATCCAAAATTGATAAGAAAGACTCCTAAAGTGATCACTGTCACTCCAGTTTCTTCCTCACAGAACTCAAATAAATTCAGTCTATTGACGAAACAACTAGGGCAGAAAGCAATGTTTAAGTCAGTTAGCATCAAGAAAAGCCCCCCAGCTATAAATGATACTTTAAAAGTTGAGAAAAAGGTTGATCCTTCTGTGTTGATGCCTGAAGAACAGGCCATCCTGAAACAAATCTCTCTGCTAGAGGAGAGAATAAAGCCTCCTATTCCAACTAAAGTTGCTACAAAGATCCCAAAGTATGTAACCAAGGAAGGAAAGATTGTACTGGCCTCCCAGGTCCAACTTCAGCAGAAAAAGGCACTCAAAAGTATCTTGCCAGTATGTCAAAAATTCTTAACAAAGAGCAAGCAGATGAGCATATTTGTACTGGAAAAACAAGAACTTAGAAAATTAGCTCGTACTCGTGGAATGCGGGAAGTGAGTGGATTTAACTATAACTGCAAAATGTATAATGTGAACTGGAATTATCCTTGTCCAAGACCATACTTCAAGACAGCCTGGAGATGGAGGTTACAGACCCTGAAGACTCTAGCTGCAGTAGGTCTGCACCTACATGTCATGTGGGCCTGTGTTTCCTGGGATGATATAAATGCCAAGACACCTATAGGGGGAACCAATACAGTGACAACTGAGAACGACATCACCACTAAGGAGCTCCTTAAGAGACGAGATGTAGGTCTGTTTTCACTTAGGTCGGAATATCTGGTCAGGAAGATTGTTGTTCCTATCAACATGCCTGAAGTCAAGAAAGGTAAGTAATCACTATCTGTTCTATAGGAGCTTTTACCTCACATACCAAAATATCTTTTTCATGTCAAAATATTGCATTTTGGCTACTGTACATCTAAAAGTATGCTATTGATTTGGTCAAAATTTCAGAAGTAGCTCATGAGCTATCATACTGAGGTTTCAGCAACATATTTTGCTGTTAAAAAAAACATTACATCGTTTTATTCCACAGTATAGATTTGTAAGCAAACTTCTAAAAGTCTCAACAAAAATCTTTCGAAAGTGTTAGAACACTCCTGGGTGTACACTTCCATAGCCTACAAGTACAAGTTCTGATGGCCAATACTGCTCAAAGAAGAGACCAATGTAATTTATGTTATGCATAACCCTGGTTTCTGCTTGTAGAGAAGTACACTCCTATTAGAAAGGGTCTGAGAGAGAGGAAAAGACCAGAGTCACCAAAGATGACGGAGCCAAGCATTACAGAGACTTGGGTGCCAGAGGAGAACCTACAATTGTGGGAGATAAAGATGTTCTATGACAAGTAGGAACTTTGTTCTTTTTTATGATAATTTACTTGAAAAGATAATTTAGAATACCGCTAGAATACAAAATAGAATAGGGCCTCCATTACACAAGATAAGGCCTCTGAAACATACATGTAAGACAGGGTCTGAAACACATGCATAGGGCCTCCATTACACAAGACAAGGCATCTATAACAAAAGTCCTCAACACAAGTTTGGCATCCTTTGAAACATAATATAAGCCTCTAAATATTAGATAGGGGTCCAGAGCAGTGTATAACTGTAGCAGTTAGTCCTTTGTTATGTTTTTTTATTGTGTTTGTCTTTGTATCAGCAAATTCCCATTACAATATACTTTATAGGGTGGAGCGTCAGAAAATGATTAAGGAAATTGAGCCTGCAAAATCGTCTAGTGATGTATCCACAGTGAAGAGCTCATCACTTAGTGGAGCAAATGAGGAGTTGAAGGCCCAGTTAGAGGCTCAACTTAAACAACAGAGAATTGCTATGCAACAGAAGCGTCTGGCAGAACAAGGGATCATCATGACAACGACCAGCAAAACTCCAACAATGGCCACTAAATTGTCAGCCGTTACGAAAATTGAGCTTCCACCCCGATCAACCATAACAACAGTTACTGCTCCAAGTAAGCATACATATATGTTTGCTTAGAATACTAATTGTATGTGAGTTCTGTGCAATGTATTTGTGTTCTCTTTTTAGGGACACCAAGCTGTTTTTAATGTTCTTCAGTTTCTTATGTTTATTAAAGTGAATGTGTATCTTTCTCAATCAGATTTCTTTTGTGTAATGTTTGAACTGGCATCTAAGCAACTTCTCAACATTACATTTGCAGCACGTAATGTACCTACAGTGGTGACACCTGGTGCTGTAGTGACTCGTACACGCACTGTGCATCTCCCTGGAACCACAATGACCATCAGACCCAAGATCACCATGACAACTTCATCTGGTATGACACCCCAGGGTATAAAGGTTGTCCCTCAGGGAATGAAAATGGCCCCTAGGCTTATGACACCCACGTCTACCACTAAAAGTAAGCAATGTTATTATGGAAGTAGTCCTCCATCCAAGATAATCTTTTGCTTCAGATTTTATATATTTCATGAGCATGTAACAAAGTACAAATTTCTATTAGCTGATAATTGTAAATCCAAATATTTAATAAGAATTGTATTTTGTATGATCAGTTTCAATGCTCACAATTATTGCATTTCTTGCAGTGGTATTGTCAAAGCCTCAGGTTGTGGCATCAGGTTCAGCTACAACAACCAGTCAGGCCCAGAGTGTCCAGATCATCCAGTCACCCACTGGTCAGCTGCAAGTCAGGGGACTCCTGCCAGGTAGGCACATACTTTACATCTGTTGCAAACTATTCAAAGCAATGAATTTGTGGTAACACAATTAATTACATAATAGAACTACAGGGTGAGCCCAAAAAGGTAACTGAAACAAATGTATGTTAATAACTCAGCCATTCAGCATTAGTTTAAGAGTTTATATGACACAATTAAACTTTGTTCAATGATCTTTCCTTCTACCAAGTTCCATTGGTCTATGTCCAATGACATCTCCCACATAAATCCCACTAGATTTTTATCTAATGCTAACAACCCCTGAAACATTGAAACAAGAGATATTGTTAGTACCTCAATGGAAATACTCAATTCTGATTGGTTGATGAGGGGTCAACAATATGTATTGTTAGTACCTCAGTTGAAATACTCGATTTTGATTGGTCAACGAGCGGTGAATAATTTTAACTGTACACCGCGCAATGCATTGCCGGTGAATAATATTCCCAGCATTCCACTAAAATGACGTCATTATCAGACGATAAAATGGCCGCCGCTAGCACTAGCCGTTTCAAAAATGTTGAAGATGAGGATATTATTAGTCTCTTTAAGAGAGTAAAGACAGTCAAAATACGAAGAAAAATCTAAAACTTTGTACAAAGCTTTTAGTGGACTTCGCCCAGGAGAGTAGTTTGACTCCATTGAGTGAACTTACTGCCGATATACTGAAATACAACATGAACGTCTCGAGGGTCTGGATCCAACTTCAAGTCAACTTCAAGGGTCAGAAAAATCTAAGATATTCTTCGGACTAACAAAACAATTATAGACCTCTCCATTCGGTTTACTGTCAAAATTATATCCCTCGACTGTAAACCTCGACCTACGGTCTCGGTTTACAGTCTCGGGATATAATTTTGACAGTAAACCTCTGGAGAGGTCAATAATTGTATACTGTTGACCACTACTAGGTACTATTGACCGCTACTTTTGAAAATTAAGTAGAAGTACCAAATTAAGTAGAAGTACAGTAGGAAGGAAGATGAGGGCCATAATACAAGATGTCTATGCTTGTGTCATGAACAACTATGCGTGAATCCGATATGTTCAAGTCACCCTACTGACACAACTCTGGTATTTTATAGCATGTTTTGTAAAATGGCCATAAAATCTTGATCATTAGAAATAGACCATATAAACTTGGTAGAATGAAAAATGAAAAAATTTAATTGTTTAATTGTGCCAATTGTTGACACGAAACCCATGCTGAATCACTGAGTTATTTATGTACATTTGTTTGGATTACCCAGGGGTTTCACTAGAATTTCTCACAACAGGCTAAATAAATGAAAACAACAGGCCAAATTAATGGAAATCATAAATTTAACATGGAAGAGTTGAAAAATCCCTAAAAACAACAGGCGATTTTGTGAAAACAACGGGTGAAAATCCCCTGTTGCCTGCTGCTAATGAAACCCTGGTTACTTTTTTTGCTCACCCTGCACCTTGATTATATTCTGTTTAGGAATAACAATGTGGTCATTTCAAAAAGGACATTATTACTCTTGTTGATTTTTGTACAACAAAATACAAAGAAAACCTTAATTCCCCTCATATTAATTAATTTCACAGTTTTTAATATCTGTGATCTTATGTTCATCATTAATATTTTGTTAACAATAAAATTAGACAAATGTTCCATTTTAGCTTCAAGATATGCAATGTATCCTCTAAAATTTGGTTAGAAATTTTGGTTTATATTGAAATTATGAAAAAATAAGTTTTGGTCTCATAATTTGATGTTAAAATGTTTGAGATGTTTTTCTATTGATTTTCCATTAGTTCTTAGTTTAATTTAATGTGCAAATAATACCTGAAAACTGATTCATTTTTCTACCAACGGCTGCATATGAATGTTTAATATAAAAATGTAAATAATGCAAAAGTATCGTTATAATTTGAAAAATGTATTTAATTGTTTGTGTACTGATTTTATGATTATCCCATAGTTCGGGGATATAAAGAACGGCTCCTTCGATCAGTCGGTCAGTCGGTCAGTCATTCCATCTAGCTGTCTGTCAGGAAAATAATTCATATAACTAATATACATGTGGATCGATATATAAATTCCATGCTTTTTGGCAAAACCCCAAGGGGCTGTGTAGGGGGTTTGGGAAAACAGGAATTTCCATCAATTGCTAGATCTTTTTGAAGTACATGTATATAGCTTTATTATACTCAAATGAAAGGCAATTTAGAGGTTTTATGATTCAGACCTTGGAAAATCCAAAATTGCTGCCGAATTTTGGAGATCACAAGTATGGTATTGTTTTTCTGATTTATGCCTCAGAAACTTCAAAATGACTGCCTAAAGCAGGAATTTGTTATAATTTAGAAAAAACTGTATATATAGCCTAAATATAGTATTGTCTGAATAATTTGTACCTGAATGGTCACCCAAATACTTAAATTGGTTGAAATTCTCATATATCTCCAATTTCTGTATTTTATTATTTCCAAATTAAGGGTAGTGTAGATGGTAAATATTATATTGTGACATATACAGATTAATTAATATGAATTTGTTTGTTTGGATTTGCTACCACCTTGATTTGCTAATTCTAGATTATAATCTTCTTGGCATGTTGATAATTGACAGAAATCTTGTGTTTTATCCAGGCCAGCAGATCATTCGTCTCCCTGATGGCAGATTGCAGCTTATAACTGTCGCAGGAGCCCGTCCACAGACCCCTGCACAACAACAGCAACAGCAGCAGCCACAAGCTCAGAACACCCCAACAGTTAACCCAAGAGTAGTATCTCCTGGAACAGCTATGGCTAAGACACAAGTACGAATACCTGGACAGACTCCTCATCTGGCTAGGATAACTGCCCCAACCCTGGCTGCTGCTATGGCCAAGATTCGTGCTTCTGGGGGTACAACTCAGTCAACTCTCAGTGGCATGTTGACAAGTCAGACGCCCCAGGCTACTCTAGTACGACCAGGGATTGTGCAGCAAGGCACAGGGGTTGCTGGACAGGCCCAGGTTACCTTGGTGGGTAGCCCACCCCGGGCAGTGCTTGCTCCACAGTTAAGTGTCACACCTCCTGCCCAGCAACAGATACGTATCATCACACCACCTTCTGTAAGTGAACCAGTAATGTCATGAAGGCAATGTGATATGAAATAATGCACATTGCACATAATGATGAATCTTATTGATTTTTAATTGATTCAAATATGATTTAAAGCTTTACACCAAGTATATTACTTGTATGTATTTTTTCAAGCTTGCAATCTTTGTACAGAAAATGCATATTGATTTTGTAAGCTAAACATCAATATTTATTTCAAATATTTTAGTGTATTAAGGATCAGAATTGCAGAATTCCTCTTTAATTCATATAAATGTTAAAGAAGCTGTGTCATTCTCAGTCAATTAATTTAAAATTCCTTTTTACTTGTAGGCAAATGTTGGACCCAAGTCGCCTGTGTTTGCTGTACCAGGGAGCATGCTTGCATCTTCCATCAATGCCTCACTCAGTGCTGCCCAGAATGTGGCTGCTACACAGAATGTTGCTGCCCAGAATGCAGCTGCTGCACAGAATGTTGCTGCCCAGAATGCTGCTGCTGCACAGAATGTTATATCACAATCACAACAGGCTGCCACTCAGCTGGCCTCCAACAGATATTCTGTCACACCACAAGTTGTACAGCAAGGTTGGTCTAAATATGCTGTCAAAAAACAATATCCTAAAATGTTGCACAAAAAATTACAAAAACCTAAAGTGTTTACATAAAATAAGAAATTAAAATGTTGCTCAAAGGTGACAAAACACAAAAAATAAAATGAAGCACCAAAAGTTTAAAAACTTTAAAATGTTGTATTTAGTCTAAAAAATATCTGGAGAGCACTGCAAGTTGTACAGCAAAGTTAAGTTAAAGCAAAGTTTTCTGTATTGTCTCTCCAATTTGAAGACCCTTCCGCCTGAACTACCAAGTGTTGAAGAATCAAGATTATAAAGGTGTTCCATATAAAGAATGTTGATAATGGTAAGAAATAATCCATTCATTTGAGAGACCCAGACAGAATTGTATTGTATTTCAGTTGTGCGTCAAGCCATGTTGCAGAACCAGGATCCAGAGATACAAGCCAAACTACTGGCTATGCAGAAGAACATTGGTCTTAGCCAGGCCAGGCTGCAGATAGCATCTCAAACTGGAGGCAATCAAGCAGACGACGAAGAGACATCAAGCACTAATAAACCTGTAAGAATCCTTTCTTTATCAATCATTGTAATGTTACATAGAGCAAGTAAAGCTGACTGGAACTTTTCATTGATCTGCACAGCTTTGAGATCAGTTGTTTTTGGGACCAGCTAGCTCACATGAATATATCATTTGTGTTAAATTATAGTATCTATATTGTTAATCATATGGTATCACACTGAGAGAACATTTTAATGTTATAATGAACATTATAAATACTTAACATTATGTAAATAAGAAATGGAAATATTGAATGTTCAATTTTCTTAGCACCATTAGAACAAGTGCAAAATTGCATATGTGCAAGGTTTGTTGCAGGATGTCTCAGCTAAGGGCTACAATAGAGTGAAGGACAATAAATACAAGATACCATTAACAAAGGCTCTTACCCCAGAGGAAACAGAAAACATCAACAGGTAAAGTTCAACAATTTAAAATTCTGATTATTTTAGAAATACTAATATCTTGTTTTGTTACTCTAATTTTCATAAAACCAATTGCATATCTTTGTACAATAGTGTTTCATACAGTGAGGTAAAATATTTGACAATATTGTTGAGTCATAATTGAAAACACTAAAATAATTGGGGAAGTGCTCACATCCCCTAGCTGGCCCCTTAACATGTGAATGAGTCCGGCAAATTACCCAAGATAGAGTGATCAGCTCATATCATTTGTTTACAGGCACAATTCTGTGAGCCAGTGCATCGCCTCAATGCTCAACAGAATCGAGAAAATGGAGAGGGAAGAGCTGCGTAAAAAGAAACGCATAGATAATATGGAGGAAAAAGTGAAACGCACATCAGAGGAGAAACTCCTGAATATTTTACACAAAACCAAAGAAAATCTTAAGAAGGAGATTTTGAAGAAAAGGTCACGGATGGAAGCTTCATTGGCAGCTGATGTAAGGGTAAGACAGTCTATTAATTTGATATTATGTTATTGAGTGCTTTTGGTCGTTCAGTAAATCCTGGGGAAATGATTTAATAAACACCGATGTGGTGAAAGAACCTAAGGTGGATCAGGGGTATCCCTTATTTTTTCAAAATTTTCATTGATAAAGAGTCCACCATCAGATTAATCTGCATATAAATATTCAATACCACTGTCATTGCTTACAGGCGGAGGTTGCTGAAGAGTTAAAGAAACAAAAGAAGAAAGTTCCAGTGAAGAGAAAGTCCACAGAGATGAACACTGGAGCTAGCACAATTGAAGGTCTTGGAGTGTTAGTGGTACAAGAGCCTAAGAGTAAGAAGAAGAAAGGCAAGATTATCTCTACTGGTACAAGCAAGGTGAACCCCACTGAAGAGAGACTCTACTGTGTATGCAAGAAACCTTATGATGAATCAAAGTAAGTAAAACATGTTTAAACTTTGGCCAACATATTAACACATATACCAACATATTAACATGTGATAACTTTGAAGGTTCTACATGGCTGTAACACATATACCAACATATTAACATGTGATTACTTTGAAGGTTCTACATTGGCTGTAACACATATACCAACATATTAATGTGTGATAACTTTGAAGGTTCTACATTGGCTGTAACACATATACCAACATATTAACATGTGATTACTTTGAAGGTCCTACATTGGCTGTAACATGTGTAATAACATATTAACATGTGATTATTTTGAAGGTTCTACATTGGCTGTAACATGTGTACCAAAATATTAACATGTGATAACTTTGTAGGTTCTACTTTGGCTGTAACATGTGTACCAACATATTAACGTGTGATAACTTTGAAGGTTCTACATTGGCTGTAACATGTGTACCAACATATTAACTTGTGATAACTTTGAAGGTTCTACATTGGCTGTAACATGTGTACCAACATATTAACTTGTGATAACTTTGAAGGTTCTACATTGGCTGTAACATGTGTACCAACATATTAACATGTGATAACTTTGTAGGTTCTACATTGGCTGTAACATGTGTACCGACATATTAACATGTGATAACTTTGTAGGTTCTACATTGGCTGTGACACATGTACCAATTGGTTCCATGGTAACTGTGTTGGCATAGATGAGAGTCATGCTAAGTTCATGGAGACCTACACATGTGATGATTGCAAGAAAGAGCATGCATCTAGTGCTGAGGAACTATACTGTCTCTGTAAAACACCTTATGATGAATCAAAGTGAGTAGCTAAGTACCTTAGATTCTTATTTACTAGTCACTGTACGCACTGACTATTTTACAGATTTCTTGCTAAAAATATCTTTCATGACCTTTTGGACATTTGAATGTAAGAGTTAAGCCATTTAAGTTATTGCAATGGGTGTACTATTAAAGTTGCAGCCACCCTCTTGCTAATTCTCACACACATCTTCCTCTTAGGTTTAATATTAGGCTTCTATGTTGTGATATGTTGTCAAATAGTTATTGCTTTCACAAATGAATCAAATAAAATGTTTGTGCACTTAAGCTTCTCTAGTATTTGATGACAATTAACTCGATTGACATTAATTTGAACTGGATTTATTGGGTTTTTTTTATTGCATACTTTTACATGAAAATATATCATTTAGGGGGAAACATGGTTAAGTTGTCAAGATTGCTTGAACATCAGAGTATTTCTTATTAAGGTTTCTTATATGGGTTTTGAATTTTTGTGAAACCCTACTGTAATGCTAAGATATTTTATGAAAACAATTGTTACATCTACATGTTCCCATGCAATGATGTTAATGTCAGTGAAAACTGGTGAATAGAAAATGTTACCTTAAAGTAATATTTCAATGACTGAATTTCAGTTTATCATTTATAATTGTTTATAGTCTTATGAATTTTCCCAATGTCTTCTAGGTTCTACATAGGTTGTGATAGATGCCAGGACTGGTTCCATGGCACCTGTGTTGGAATAACAAAATCTCAAGCTGATAGTATTGATGTCTACATCTGTCCAAACTGCCAGGCAAATAATTCACCATCAGAAACTAAGGCCAATCAAACAATTCTCACTACTCAGCACTTTATTGAGCTACGAAGGATCGTAAAAAGTCTTCAGGTCAGTACCTTCCAAATGTACTTTACGAGATCGTCTGATAATCTTCATGTAATGTAGACTGAAAATTAGCTTAGTTATTTTTTAACAAACTTAACATATATTGTTATGTTACCAACAAGAACTGTTGACATATCGTTACGGTCTCCATTTTTTGTAACAGCGATCGGAGGTTGGCAATCGGCGGTTGGCGTCTGTAACAAATGGTTGTGACATTTTGCATGTTAATGCCTCGTTTTCTTATGCAGTTATAGCTATCTTAGAATTCTTGTTAGTATTGGAGTAGTTTTTTTCCAGAAAAATGTCAAATGTGAATTAAAATATATTACATATCAGTCCTTATCCCATAGTTGAGGACAAATCTGTATGACAACATTCAATATATTTGATATTTTGCAAATGTGTGGAAATAAGCGATATCTTTGGAATATGATTCACTTTATTCAACGAATTTGAAAACACTCACCAATCGTGCAATGTGACCTGTATTGTAAGGTGGTGATTTTATGCTGTCACATGATAAATGAATGAATGTTGTTTTGAAATGTTTGGTTAAATTAATTTAATAGGTGAACTTTGTATAAATAGAACATCTTATGAATTTTTGTGATATCATTTTAATCCACTCATAGATATCAATATCGGCACCTATTCGCTATGCTCACTCATCCAGATATTGATATCAACTTGTGGATAAAAACGATATCACTCAAAATCATTTAATTATTCCATAGGTGCTAAAATGATGTTTATGTAAGCAGTGAAAAAATATCATGTTTTCAACAATTTTTCACTTTATCATTAATATTATGTCACCCCCAGATGTGATGACATATTGTTATAATTTTGTTATAACTTTTTTGTGGACGGTGTTCGATAGTGTTCGCACTGTCTATAACAATTTCTTACAACTTCCAACTGTTTAGACTTTTTACTGTGAACATATTTAACCATGTTATGAGTTCCAACACATTTCTGCCCTAGGCGTACACCATAGAAAATGTAATCTTTGATAACTCAAATACTAGTTCTCGGATTCGGTTCAAATTTTATATGATGATACTTAGGACAAATGAGCTTTGCCAAAGAAGAGATTTTCAAATGGTGTCTGAATTTCAAAATGGCCTCCAATTTTCATTTAAATATGTAATCATTGATAACTCAAATACCAGTCAATGGATTTGGTTTAACTTTCATATGCTGATGCCTAGTGACAAAAAAGTTTTAATAAATAAGAGATTTTTAAGATGGCCACTGAATTTCAAAATGGCCACCATTTAAGGGACCAAATACAACTTTCTATGATATTTGAATCTCCCGCCTCTAACATTGTGTTCCTTGCACCCCCCCTATACATTCAGATTTTGTTATCACTTGAATTGAAATGTCAACATTTTGAATGTTGATGTCTTGTTAACCATTTTCAATAACTTAGCAGGTGGTGACATTTTTACTGCTAATGCCTTGTTGAAACATGTCATACAGTGCCATATTCCATGGTTTACACATTTTTACTGCTTGACTCAAAGCTCATACGGGGTGTCCAAAAATAGGAGCGAAGAAAAGGTTGATTTACTTGTCAGTCTTGCATATTCTGTTTTGAAATTCAGAATCATTTAGTTAATTCAATGTGGATTTTGTTGCGAAAGTTTGATGATAATCTTCCCTCTCTATGTTCAATTGTGCATTGAGAAAAGAGGTGCCCACATGTTTTGTAAGGGACTGTAGTTTTTGACTTAATAGGCAGATTATAATCAAACTTGTCCATGTTGTGATGTTGAATAAACTAAATAATTCTGAAATTTCAAGGCAGAATATGCAGGATTGGCCAAGTTTATCTTTTCTTCAGTCCTGGTTTTTGGACTCCCTGTACTTAACACTCAGCACTTGTTTTGAAAGTTTGATTTGACTTATTAAAGCACCCCTCAAACTATGGAAGAAAAAGAACATCCTAAGACTTACTCTCTTGCTTCGCTTGTTCATGCAGATATTGCAGTCATTCGTGGAGAATATCATATCACCTCATAAATCATAGGACATTCTCTCCATAGTTGAATAGTTAATTCAGAAGAGTAATTTGTTTCCAGTCTCACAAGATGTCCTGGCCATTCTTGGAGGCCGTAGACCCAGAAGAAGTGCCAGACTATTACAGGGTAATCAAGGAACCAATGGGTGAGTGCCTAGCTTTTATCTTGATAATATTTTCTTTTCTTATTGCCTCACCATTGAATCTCTTGTCTAGGGCCAACCAGATCCTCTGAGACCAACTGATCTAGAATAATATTTCAAACCATATGTAATGTTGCTTATATTGTTGGAATGCAATAAAGGGGAAACTGGGTTCTATTGAATTATGGGTTCCCATAATATCATATATCCAAGGCCCCTAAACATGATACTATTACAGCTCATATTTCATGGGTGACTTCCTTACTCAATCTTGGATCTTTCAAGATAATGTAATTGACCTCAACCAGTGCATGCATCTCTATAAGCCAGAGAAAATCCAGACACCTTTGATTTGATCCCCTAATAGTCTTTCATCTATCAATAGTTCTTTGTGTCGTTCATTGCAGACTTGACAACAGTTGAAGATAGAGTCAGCAGGAAACAGTATATGAAACTCGGGGATTATGTCAGAGACGTCATGAGAATATTTGACAATTGCAGATATTACAACACTGCAGACTCTCCATTCTATCAATGTGCAGAAGTTATGGAGTCCTATTTTGTCCAGAAATTAAAGGCATTCAAGGAAAGATTATAATAAATAATGTACAGAATGAATGTATGTAGTTTGTAGTTGTACTTATATTTCATATTGAAAGAAGAGGAAGACTGTTAAAGACAATTTGCAAGCTGACATTGTGGCAGCAGATACTGGATTAAAGGTATAGATTTATAAAAAAAGTAAAATGTTGAATGATTATGTAATCCAAGGCTTATTTTACTAAATGTATATAGAATAACATTATTAAATTTAATGTGATTGACTCACTATATTTTGTGGAAGGCATTCACTAAGATGTTCCATTTTTGTACTTAGGCTAATTGTTTTTTAAGATCCTGGTGTATTTTCACTAAACGTATATATTATTTTCAATGAATTCACAATGCGCATGAATGTCCAGGTCTGCTGTACAGTTTGCATTTTAAAACGAAATGTCACAAGTATCAGTATTTGATATTTTGGGCAACTTTTGTTATTGTTTATTTGTTGTGTATCCTATTTTTGTTATTAAAAGTACATTGGCAAGTCATGCGAGTACATATAGTAAGGTCATTTGCTTATTGTCCCAATAAGTGGGGTTTGGACTAGGAACCTCAATACATTCTAGGATGATTAAAAGCTGCAGGTCAAGTCAGAGAGTTCTGATTTGTGAAATATTTGTAATTTTTATACAAGTCTATGGTTGAATATGTGTGACTTGTATTGTTTTGCAGCGCCATCTCCAGTCAGCGCTTTGCAGCATTGTACATTGCTTCACTTGATAATTTATATCATCAGCATATTATAAATAAAACTGTTTTGTGTTTTCATAAATCAAAGTATACGTATATGTATTTTATATTACTGTATGAGTCGATGGATAGTCAGGTGAAGAGGAGTTGTAATGTAGTTCTAAACTATATACTATGTTCTAGTACACATTTCCAGTAGGCTAATCACCTAGTGTTTCTTTACCTTCCATGTACATTTTAGAAATTGTAAATGATTGCTGTCATAGTTTTATTTGCTTTCAATTATTTGATATACATTAGTTAATTGCACATTGAGTGACAAAATGAATTTTTTGATGCAAGAATATATTTGAATTTTGAATTGATGTGTCATTACTTTCCAATATGTACATATGTGTCCATTAATGAATAATACACTAGAGCCCTACTGTAGAAACCAGATATGTTATGAAGGGTTTAATGTAGAATAATATAAATAAAATGTAATATTCTCTCTATGAAAAATGTAGTTGTTTTGTTTTATTTTTACTTTACAGCATAATTAAAATGCATGTGTGATATCCACATAGACTGGCTCTTCCTCAGACACTCCCATCATTCAATACTGTCGTATCTAATACAGAATAAGAACAACATCTGGTTCATTGTTTCTTACACAAGATTCAACCAGCCCTTCAGCATCATTGTATGGATTAAAATGTGGGGTAATTTCAATTTCAACAGTTCAGTTAGTTTTGCCTTTCAGTTCTGGAGATTTCATTACAAGGTACAAAATATAGGCACATCCCATCAATGTTGTTGCTATGGTAACAGTCGTCACTAAGAATATATGATTGCTATTTCCAACTGGAACAAGGAATGTTAATGCTGGAGATTCCTGAAATTGGAAAAAATTCATTATGTAAAAATCTAAACAGGTGATATAAGTATCACAAGATTGTTATTTTTGGCTACAGGACACCGGAATAGCCTGACTACAGTAAAGTCAGATACCATTGTCACAAATGGCGGACATGACTGTTGCTTCAACTGTTCAATCACTTGGTCCTTATTTCATGGGATTTTATCGTCGCTAATTCTGTGCATGCATTAAGCTCTTGTGATAATGTAACATATGAAACCCCATTTTCGATCAAATTGGGTCGTGAATCACCACAATATAGCGTCTTCGATATCGTCAATGACGACGGAATCTGAATTTGAGAAATTTAGAAAGACAACGTCATATGGTAATAATAACAATGTCCATTGTCCCATATCTCATTTTGATCGGTTAAATTAAAGACTTTATTGCGATGGTAGAACACTATTAACTGTACAATGAGTATTAAGACACTTTGATTGATTGTTGTTCCAAAGGAATTTAGTCTAGATGCTCTATTAAACATGCAGTACATGAAAATCTAATCGAAGCGACGGTTATGTCTGCCATTTGTGACAACAGTATCTGACTTTACCGTTGTCAGGCTATTCCGGGGTGTACAGTAAGCTTTTGAAATTCCTCACTTGTCAATCATCCTTCCATCTCAACAGTAGTGGCATATTTTATAACCTCTGTCAATACATATCCACCTTGTTATCTTTGTTAATTGAGCCTGGCCATAGGAAAACCGGTCTTATCACAAAAATTAGAATTGTGCTACAGAGCCATCATTATTTTTTTGAAAGAACTAATGACAGTGGCTCTCTCCTATTGTTGTGCATGACAATAATCCCATGTATGCTAATAACTGATCAAAAGTAATCTAGATATTGTATATTTGAAAATTGTATATTAGACTGACGACAGAAATCACCCATCCATTAATTAGGTTAACGGTCTAATCTGACTTTAAATAATTCTCACCACTGTATATCCTAACTCTTTCCATGTGCATGTAGTGCTTTGATGTGGGTAACATGGGAACTGATGTAGATTACCACCCAGTTTCTGTTTTAAATCTAAAAATAAATCAAAGTGACATCAACATTCTGTATGAGATGATAGAAATGAACAAGGCATTAACATGACAAAATGTCACCACCACCTACAAAATTTGATCAATTTGAAGCGAGTTGAAAAATACCTTTTTGACCTTTTTAACCTAAAGACCTTTTATGTTATGCTAAACACAACTTGAAAACAAATTTTTCGAAAGTAATCTAGGTTCATAAACTAGTGCAAAATTCTTTTATTCTGTCTCATGTTTTGGAACAATTTTACAATTCTGTCTGGATATTTCTTTGACATTTTCCTGAAAATAAAATAAATTTGAATATCATACTTGAGCAATTGATCAGCACTCTAGGATGTTTCAGAGTCACTTCTGCAAATTCAACATTCTTTCTCAGTCTGTGATACCTCAGGTGCAAGGGATATGTTACTTCTCCAGATATCACACCTCGATGTCGTGTCATATTCCCATAAATATAGATGTCATGTTTGGTTGACTCGTAGTCTGGCTTCTCAATGTCTATATATTCTGAGATCACCTAAATGCAGAAAACATGTGTCTGATTACTGTTAAGATGTGATTGTTCTGGTGTCTATCAGTTATGTTTTTTATTTTGTTAGATTATTTCATTTAAATGAAAGGTAATATTTCAGTTGACAGCAATGTTGATGGCAGATGTTCCATATGACTGAACTGAAACAAATGGCATTATACAATTATTTAGGTATATGCAAATATCAGGGTGTTTCATGGTGATTGTTCTGAGCCCAGGTTTTTTTGTTTTGTTTTTAGTTAGTTACATACTTTATTGTCAAACTATGATACAGAAAGTATACATCAAGTGACACTTTAACAAGTGTATGAAGTTGTTTTAGTGACAAAAATGAAAATTCAATAATAACTATACATATTGATAGCATATGTATGCATCTAACTTATGGCTAGTGGTGGTGGGTTGTGGCTGCCAATGTGTGTTAACTCTATTTCAGTTTAGGAAAATGTATGGCATGGAAAGGTAGATGAGGTGACAGTATATAATTATATTTCAGCGATTTTTTTCTTCCTAGTCATTTTAAATTGAAGTAAAGAAGGCACTGTATTCAAAACTTGGCGGGGGTCCTAGGCTGAACCCTCATATATCAAGATGTTCCCATACCAATCTGTGAAATTTCAATGTGTTCCCATACCAACAAAAATAACGCCCAAACGCCATACCGAATGTCCAAATATAAGATCAATGCCAAACTGAATGTCCAAATATAAGACCAGTGCCATACCAAATGTCCAAATATAGGACCAATGCCATATCAAACACCCAGATTAAGGGCCATTCAAAATGTCTAATGCCCCAAGAAAAAGGCAGATCTTTGAAGAAAACTATCCATAACAACCTCAAATTAAGGATATGTGTAACTGCTAGATCATTTACATAATAATCATAACAACAAAAGCACATGGTACAGTCTGATGAATGCTTACATAATTGTTAAGACTACATATTATGACAAATACCATGCCACAAGTGAGAGGTAACATATTTTCCAAGACCATTCTCACACCAGAAAATGGAAAAATCTGACCATTTTCATACCTCAAAAGTCATAATTTGAGGGTCATTCTCATACCAGATCCTAAAAGAAGGGAAGGTTGTTTTTAGAATAAATCAGGGGAGTTTTTTCAAGCATTTCTCTCCCTCCTTTGGAATACCAAATGTCCTTTGGGATACCAAATGTCAAAAAGGTGCCCCACGTAAGCCCCCCAGGGTTCAGAGGCATGGCTGTTAACAGGGTATACTGCTAATTCTTGAGAAAATGTGACTATCAGGTTGTATGTTTATGATCAGGTGGGTACCTTTTGTAAAGACAGGTTGCAAATTGTAAAAGAAATTTGAGCTTTAAGGCATAGCTTAGGCTTATGCATAGCTAGGCAAGGTATGTCCAATTCCAGCCAATAAGAACATGTTATTTCACGTACTGCTTTCTGTTATATTACCAATAACACATTAGTTGTATGGTTGTCAATGTGAAAACTGGGACAACAGATTGAAAACGATGCTTTACCAACTTGACCCTTGCAAAAAGCTTCATTAGAAAATATGTTCTTTTAGTGATTTTGTAGAAAATATTGTGCAATATGTGAAAAGAATTTAAGCCCAAGGCCCAATGCAATGTGGCTGCTTCATTCCATTCAGGCGTTATTTCCTAAACTTTGTATTCCCGCTGCGCGGTCATTCAAAGATTTGGAAACAAAACCTTCCATGGAATGATTCAGTGAGTCCAGGGCTTAAATCCTTAATTTAATAAGTCCAAACGTTTCAGATGATATCAGAGAATTGGCTCTTGATATGAGGATGGTCATTTTGAAGCACCCTCTGAAGCCATACAAATTACAAAGTACATATTGATCTACATCTACATCAATAATTCGCAAAAGGCTAATAAGCCCATTTAAAGCAGATATATAGTTTAACAGTGATATAATTTGAATAGAATACAATTTGAACCTTAACATTTAAAAAATAGAACTATGGATTACAACTCATTTTAAAATGTACACTGAAATCATGAAACACTTCTCCACTTAAGGAGGCATCTTCCCCAAGGTCGATGCTCCCGTTCGTAGAACGATCAATGTATTCAATGAATATGATTATAATACATGTATTACTCTCACCTTTGGTCCACCATACTCTTCTCCCATCTTCAGCTGATATATGTCCACATAGGCCCCCATAGGTATTGTCTCAATTAGAAGCAGGACACATGTACCAAATGTGCTGGGGCCTCCTTCTGTTGACACCTCAACCTTACTTGTCACCTCCCTATGGAAAGGAATTTATATGAAGGCATCCTAATATTAATCGTCATTTGAAAAAAATATTATTTAGCATTTATATTATGAATTAAGAAGGTGTTCAACATGAGATACAAAGAAGACATACATCACAGATGATATCCACAGTAGATGATATTCAACATATTAAATAAAGATTCACATGTATACATGAAGGTTGTACACTGTTGGGGGCATACAACACAATCAAATGATGCACAATATGGATAATAGAATCTGATAAACATAGATGATGTACAATGTAAATGAGACTCAATACAATCAAATGAAACATAATATTAATGATATTTAATACAGATGATGTAATGTTATTGTAAATGGCACTGAACACAGTGGGATGATGTACGATAGAGATAATATTCAACAAAGATGATGTACAATATAAATGGCACCAAACACAGTGAGACAATGTACAATACAGATGATATTCTACATAGATGATGAGCTATGCAAATAGCACTCCACACAGTGATATGATGTACAATACAGATGATATTCTACATAGATGATGAGCTATGCAAATAGCACTCCACACAGTGATATGATGTACAATACAGATGATATTCTACATAGATGATAAGCTATGCAAATAGCACTCCACACAGTGATATGATGTACAATACAGATGATATTCTACATAGATGATGAGCTATGCAAATAGCACTCAACACAGTGATATGATGTACAATACAGAATGATGATATTCTACATAGATGATAAGCTATGCAAATAGCACTCCACACAGTGATATGATGTACAATACAGATGATATTCTACATAGATGATGAGCTATGCAAATAGCACTCCACACAGTGATATGATGTACAATACAGATGATATTCTACATAGATGATAAGCTATGCAAATAGCACTCCACACAGTGATATGATGTACAATACAGATGATATTCTACATAGATGATGAGCTATGCAAATAGCACTCAACACAGTGATATGATGTACAATATAGATGATATTCAACCCAGATGATGAGCTATGCAAATAGCACTCAATACAGTGATATGATGTACAATACAGATGATATTCTACATAGATGATGAGCTATGCAAATAGCACTCAACACAGTGGTATGATGAATAATATAGATGATATTCTACATAGATGATGAGCTATGCAAATAGCACTCCACACAGTGGTATGATGTACAATATAGAGGATATTCTACATAGATGATGAGCTATGCAAATAGCACTCCACACAGTGATATGATGTACAATATAGAGGATATTCTACATAGATGATGAGCTATGCAAATAGCACTCCACACAGTGATATGATGTACAATATAGATGATATTCAACAAAGGTGATGAGCAATGCAAATAGCACTCCACACAGTGATATGATGTACAATATGGATGATATTCTACATATATGATGAGCTATGCAAATAGCACTCCACACAGTGATATGATGTACAATATAGATGATATTCTACATAGATGATGAGCTATGCAAATAGCACTCCACACAGTGATATGATGTACAATATGGATGATATTCAATCCAGATGATGAGCTATGCAAATAGCACTCCACACAGTGATATGATGTTCAATATAGATGATATTCAATCCAGATGATGAGCGATATAAATAGCACTCCACACAGTGATATGATGTACAATATAGATGATATTCTACATAGATGATGAGCTATGCAAATAGCACTCCACACAGTGATATGATGTACAATATAGATGATATTCTACATAGATGATAAGCTATGCAAATAGCACTCAACACAGTGATATGATGTACAATACAGATGATATTCTACATAGATGATGAGCTATGCAAATAGAACTCAACACAGTGGTATGATGAATAATATAGATGATATTCAATCCAGATGATGAATGATGCAAATAGCACTCAACACAGTGATATGATGAATAATATAGATGATATTCTACATAGATGATGAGCTATGCAAATAGCACTCCACACAGTGATATGATGAATAATATAGATGATATTCTACATAGATGATGAGCTATGCAAATAGCACTCCACACAGTGATATGATGAATAATATAGATGATATTCTACATAGATGATGAGCTATGCAAATAGCACTCAACACAGTGGTATAATGAATAATATAGATGATATTCTACATAGATGATGAGCTATGCAAATAGCACTCCACACAGTGATATGATGTACAATATAGATGATATTCTACATAGATGATGAGCTATGCAAATAGCACTCCAGACAGTGATATGATGTTCAATATAGATGATATTCAACAAAGATGATGAGCGATGCAAATAGCACTCAGCACAGTGATATGATGTACAAAATGATATTCAACAAAGATGATGAGCGATGTAAAAAATATTCAACACAGTGGTATGATGTACAATATAGATGATATTCAACAAAGATGATGAGCTATGCAAATAGCACTCAACACAGTGATATGATGTACAATATAGATGATATTCAACAAAGATGATGAGCTATGCAAATAGCACTCGATACAGTGATATGATGTACAATATAGATGATATTCAACAAAGATGATGAGCTATGCAAATAGCACTCGATACAGTGATATGATGTACAATATAGATGATATTCAACAAAGATGATGAATGATGCAAATAGCACTCGATACAGTGATATGATGTACAATATAGATGATATTCAACATAGATGATGAGCTATGCAAATAGCACTCGATACAGTGATATGATGTACAATATAGATGATATTCAACAAAGATGATGAATGATGCAAATAGCACTCGATACAGTAATATGATGTACAATATAGATGATATTCAACAAAGATGATGAATGATGCAAATAGCACTCGATACAGTGATATGATGTACAATATAGATGATATTCAACACAGATGATGAGCTATGCAAATAGCACTCCACACAGTGATATGATGAATAATAAAGATGATATTCAACATAGATGATGAGCTATGCAAATAGCACTCCACACAGTGATATGATGAATAATATAGATGATATTCTACATAGATGATGAGCTATGCAAATAGCACTCCACACAGTGATATGATGTACAATATAGATGATATTCTACATAGATGATGAGCTATGCAAATAGCACTCCACACAGTGATATGATGTTCAATATAGATGATATTCAACAAAGATGATGAGCGATGCAAATAGCACTCAGCACAGTGATATGATGTACAAAATGATATTCAACAAAGATTATGAGCGATGTAAAAAATATTCAACACAGTGGTATGATGTACAATATAGATGATATTCAACAAAGATGATGAGCTATGCAAATAGCACTTAACACAGTGATATGATGTACAATATAGATGATATTCAACAAAGATGATGAGCTATGCAAATAGCACTCGATACAGTGATATGATGTACAATATAGATGATATTCAACAAAGATGATGAGCTATGCAAATAGCACTCGATACAGTGATATGATGTACAATATAGATGATATTCAACAAAGATGATGAATGATGCAAATAGCACTCAACACAGTGATATGATGTACAATATAGATGATATTCAACCCAGATGATGAGCTATGCAAATAGCACTCAACACAGTGGTATGATGTTCAATATAGATGATATCCAATCCAGATGATGAGCGATGCAAATAGCACTCAAAACAGTGATATGATGTACAATATAGATGATATTCTACATAGATGATGAGCTATGCAAATAGCACTCAACACAGTGGTATGATGTACAATATAGATGATATTCAATCCAGATGATGAATGATGCAAATAGCACTCAACACAGTGATATGATGAATAATATAGATGATATTCTACATAGATGATGAGCTATGCAAATAGCACTCCACACAGTGATATGATGAATAATATAGATGATATTCTACATAGATGATAAGCTATGCAAATAGCACTCAACACAGTGGTATGATGAATAATATAGATGATATTCTACATAGATGATGAGCTATGCAAATAGCACTCCACACAGTGATATGATGTACAATATAGATGATATTCTACATAGATGATGAGCTATGCAAATAGCACTCCACACAGTGATATGATGTTCAATATAGATGATATTCAACAAAGATGATGAGCGATGCAAATAGCACTCAGCACAGTGGTATGATGTACAATATAGATGATATTCAACAAAGATGATGAGCTATGCAAATAGCACTCGATACAGTGATATGATGTACAATATAGATGATATTCAACAAAGATGATGAGCTATGCAAATAGCACTCAACACAGTGATATGATGTACAATATAGATGATATTCAATCCAGATGATGAATGATGCAAATAGCACTCAACACAGTGATATGATGTACAATATAGATGATATTCAATCCAGATGATGAATGATGCAAATAGCACTCAACACAGTGATATGATGTACAATGTAGATGATATTCAACAAAGATGATGAATGATGCAAATAGCACTCGATACAGTGATATGATGTACAATATAGATGATATTCAACAAAGATGATGAGCTATGCAAATAGCACTCGATACAGTGATATGATGTACAATATAGATGATATTCAACAAAGATGATGAATGATGCAAATAGCACTCGATACAGTGATATGATGTACAATATAGATGATATTCAACAAAGATGATGAGCTATGCAAATAGCACTCGATACAGTGATATGATGTACAATATAGATGATATTCAACAAAGATGATGAATGATGCAAATAGCACTCAACACAGTGATATGATGTACAATATAGATGATATTCAATCCAGATGATGAATGATGCAAATAGCACTCAACACAGTGATATGATGTACAATATAGATGATATTCAATCCAGATGATGAATGATGCAAATAGCACTCAACACAGTGGTATGATGTACAATGTAGATGATATTCAACAAAGATGATGAATGATGCAAATAACACTCGATACAGTGATATGATGTACAA